CGACACGATTATTTAGGCAATACTTAAATAAAGTACTTCGAGAATATTTTGAGAAATAATTTCAATAGGTATATATTATAATGTAGTTAGTATTGATAACTATGATGTTATAAATGTATTATTTTTAATATTTAATGATTAATTTGTCACTTAAAATTGTTAATTGTTTCCTAAAATGGAAATGGGAATCTTCTAACGGGACGTTCAAAAAAGGAAAATGGGAACCTTCTAATGGGACGAAGGGAGTAGTACTTGATAACGTGTTCTCTTCGATACAAATTATATGGGTGTAATATTTTAAAGTTTCTTCGTATTAGGAACTACCATTGAAGGTAGCACAATACTTTATATTGTAGGAAATATATCTCCTACTTATATAAAGAGTCACTTGAACGGTGTCTCAAAATTTCCGCCCATTTTCGGTTAAACATGCTTCTGTCTCCTCTGTTCCTCGCGTCTGTTTGGTATCTTTTTACTTTCCCATTTTTAAAATCAAAATCCACTCCCATTCGACGCCCATCAAGGATTAGTATTCTCTCGTCAGGCAGCCGAACTCCCAAAGCATGAGCTCTGTATCAACAAACTCACGAGTTCGCTTCATACGAAGGATTGTATAGTGCGATGTACGGGGCAAATTATAATCAAATCATATAAACTTTTGTTTATATCAACGATGAGCAATAAAATTCAAGATTGGCAAAATTATAATGTACTCTATATAAAAGAATGAAAAGGGGACGGAGTTATAGGATAATACTCCCTCCGTCCCAATAAATACTTCTCACTTTAACTTGACATGAATATTAAGAAAGTGAGAATAAAGTGGAAATGTATGGTAGTGGTTGAGTAAGAAAAAGGTAAATAAATGTTAGTCACACAAAATATTCTAAAAAACGAAAATGTGAAGAATTTTTGGGACATCCCAAAATTGTAAGTTTGAAAAATTTTATGGAACGAAGGGAGTATGTTACATACTCCGTATTAAATACTCCGTAGTTAAGATTTTAGAGATGTTATCATTTATAGTGTTCCAAAATCACACAAAACACAAACATTACAGTGAGCGAACAAACTTAAAATTTTGAAACACTTCTTTGTAAACAATATTAGCAGTATGATCAATATGTTGTGTTGGTCCAAAATAGGACGCTCGTAGGCTTTTAGGAAAGCTACGTACGACACTCAAGCAAGAATTAGGAAAGTACGAATATGGAAAGTTAGCCAGAAATAGCATATAGAAATTGTCTCCCCTAATCTGAATTACAACCCGCCTTTTATAGGCATATACAAATCGTAACCATTACCAATAATAATGACTAATTAATTAAAACATTAATACAGAATTAAATACATAATTAATAGCGCATTAATTGCTCGATCGTTACTCTTCCGGTCTAGGAGGTCGGCCGGACTGGCAGGCTCCCCTCTGGGCTGGCTGGCAGGCTCCAGGTTATGGACTTGGATCCATGGGTCCATGTTCGGGGCTTGGGTTGATTAGGCTCTGGGCCTAGTCCCATTACTCCATCACGAGTCCCCCACTCCATTAGTCGAGTAGTAGACTCGGCTAAGAGGGAGTAGTCCAAGTCAGTTGCTCTTCTCCGAGACTAGAAAATCCCCGCCCTTATCCATGTTGGGGAGATGCCTCATTAAAAACCTTCATTAGGAAAAAACCCAATGGGAAAAAATCCTAATGAAGGGAAAAAGAGTACATCTGACGCCCCCAAGATGAAGCAAGAGGTGAGATCCTCAGTCTTTATTGCAATGATCGCCATCTGCGAATAGGATGGCTAGAACTGTTCTTCTCGTCGAACTCAGACTCGTCAGGTTTGTCATTTGCTTCCTTGAAGACGGTAAGACCCTCAGTCCCCCACTTCATTCAGTTATACCTACACATAAAAGAAACTAGTGTAGAATAGAGCATCAGGCCTGGTGTCGAACCACGGCTCAGTGTGTAAGTGAGTCGGACTCACTACTTGAAAAGAATGACATCAAGTTCCCAAGTTAGGCCTCAACCCAATCTCCGAAAGAAAGATTGAATCCGCGAGTAAGTGAGTCGGACTCCTCACTCGAATGGATAATCCAACCCCAAAGAACTAAAGTATATAAACCTTTTCGAGAAATGTGAATGTCAATTAAGTGACAAAATTGCTCAGAAGAGCGTGGCTCTAGGCCCCTAATAAGAGTTTAACTCGCCGCCCGAGGTTAGTAGTTCGAACCCGCAAGTAAAAACTTTTGAACGGGTGACTCGTCCCCCGAGGTCGGAGTGTGATGCACTTGGAAAGGGTAAGAGCACGCAAGAACTCGTATGAAGTCAAGAGTGTGTGGTATTAACATTTATATTAGAGCTTATTAATCGCCACACCCATGTGACGTGACCCGATGGCGCGAGTGTGTGTGCTCGGCCAGTGTACGAGTGTGTGTGCTCGCCCGGTGTACGTGAGTGATCGGATTTCATAAGCACATTTTTCAATGTTAAAATTACACATGCTTAACAAGAGTAAAAGCAATTAAACCACTTAAAATATCTTTTCAAATGTTTGAATTTATGATTTTTTTTGTATCAAATATAGAGGATTTTTGGAAACTTAGCTTTAGAGCCAAACGGGCCCGAATGCGTTGCTGAAAATTCAGCCCATCATTCTTGAGGAGAATCAAATTTAGTCTTAGTGAAAATTCAGCCCAATTAGGATATCCACCACCATATACATATTATCTAGTCCAAGATTAATATAATATGTGGTCCCGATAATATCGGGAGGCCCCACATCCGATGTGGGCCCCACGTGAATTTTACTATTCACGTAATAGAAATAATAAAAATTTACAATCACGTAAAAATGCTTTTATACATTCCTCAAGGTTCAATACATACTTTGGTACAATACAAATACTCGGGGGCGGTGTTACAACCTAACACTCTCATACCATATTTGGTAATATTTGAATGGTTAGAAATAATTCTTACTTTATTCATACTTTGTCAATTCAAATCACACCACATCCCTTTGCCCCAAACTTAGGGGGACAGAGGTATTATAATATTACCAAGAAAATGGTAATTTGTTTTATACAATGGGCCCCATGAATTGATGTCGCGTTTTTTTAATACATACAAATGCTCACCTTCCTTTAATGTTGGTGTCCCATATTAGTCCTCGAATTCGCCACATGCCATTTGTATAGTCTAGGAGTGAATTGTGAAAAAAAGAACACACATGTTTAATTTTTAGAGGGTAAATATGTATTTTAATAAGCATATTGTTCTTATATATAAATAGATAGATAGATAGATATCTCTAATCAAATTAATTAATACAATGAATTACTCTATAGTTTCCTTGCTTAACTGGGACAATTCATTGGTGGTGGGGCTGTCCAATGGCGGCGACCATGACAGCCCGGTGGAGGAAGCACTATGGAAATTTTGGGCGGATTCCAGTGATCGACAACAAAAAAGTACCTTTATTTTGGGAATTTTAGAACACCACTGCTATTTTATACCCCTCTGTCCCAATATAAATGTCTTGTTTGCTTTAGCACAAATCTTAAGAAAATGGTTGAAAAGGTAAAAGTTGTGATTCAGATTTGAGTAGAAAAGGAAAGCAGGGAAGTTATTTCGGGACTTAAGGAGTACTTTCTTCATGTCGTATTCCTATGTGCGGATCTATCTCTTAATAAATACACAATCATTTTATGATTGACTTGATTGGTTCTTCATTCGGAAAGATAATTTAGATTTGTATGATTGATGTTTTTACAAATGATAAAGAAATAATATAAATTAAAAATTAGTTGATTAAAAGGGGAAATGTCATAGGTTTAGAGAAATTCAAAAAGGAAAGATGACAATTTTTTTAGGAGAACCCATAAAGGAGATGACAAAGTTTTAAGATATCGGGAATATGTTTTAAGTATATCAAAGTTTGAAGTGTGATGTCAATGTATTTCATAGACATGAATAGAATAAAACATTGTTCCAAATTAGAATTGAATAGAATAAAACATACTACATATAGAGAGCGGACGGTGCCTAGGGTTCTCCCTAGGCTTTGCATAGTTTTTTCGGCGGCATTTTTGTCCTGACCGACAGTTTATTCCCCAACGGCACACATCACGTGTGTAGGGGCAGTAATCGAAAGATACCCACGAACATAGAAGAATGCATAAAGGGTTGTTGTTAGCGGCGGCCAGGTGGAGGACTTTGTGCGGCGCATCACTCTGTGTTGATTGAAGCTCGGGGATTTGTCGTCTTCGTGATTGATGTCAATGGCTTTCATGGGTTGCAAGACATGATTTTCCGATGCTTGGTTTGACTATTTTGTATTTGATGGTGACTGGGATGGAAGGTGTACCAGCTATGTTTGATCTGTGTGGAACACTGGCGATTTGGGTTCCGGTGAAAGGGGCGAATTTGGGCTCCAATCGGTTGGTTGGGGGATTAGCGCGGTTGCTATGGCCGACTCAGTGGAGGGTAGAGATAAGGTGATGGAGGAAGAAAATGGAATGATAATGATATATTATCCCCTCCTGAACCGCCACCACGGATGAACTATGCGGTTAGGGTTTGGAAGACGACGCTTGAAGTTTGGATTCAACTGTTCCATCAGTTGAGGTTTGTTTACCTTTGCTATTTTTGGTTTTCTAATCTTTATTTTGTTTTTATTATGTCAAAATGGTTGATTTGTTGTTTGGTTTATTTTAGTTACTAGATTTCTGTTGGAAGACAATCAGACTCACTCAGCCGCTAATAGCCTCAAATCTCTAACATGTTCAGCGATTAGTCTCGCTCTTTTTAAGCTGGAATATTCTATGTCTGATAAGAAAATGAAAGGACCACCAGAAAGTGAAGGGACCGGTGGGCTTATGATTAGTGTTTGTTAGAGGGAGATTTGTGTCAGATGATTATTATATTATTTGTAATTTTCTTGATTGTAAAACAGTGAGAGTTTGATTTAAATAGCGAGAATTTGATTTAATATAATATCTGAGTTTTCCTTCAAAAAAAAAGTTGGAAGTATGATCGAATGTTTTGATTTAAATAATCAACAAATTAAAATCTGTATCAGACTATCGGATTCAATTTATTTTGATTTAAGTTGGTCTAATCGAATCAAAGTGGATGCCTAAAAGCCTAATTACTGGTGCAGTTGTGCGAGCCGCTAGGTTTACGTTTGCTCTACTGCTGACAATTATGACCATCAGTTCCATAATTCTATTCTAACACGAACGCCCGGAGCATACCAACAGTGCCTGGATCCTTAAAACTCCACTTCGATTATTCTGAGATGGAGAAGGGAAAAGCAGTGATGGGTATGGGCCGGAAATGGGCCGTCGATTTCACCGACACGTCAACTTCTCCTACCTCACGCGACATCTCTGATCCTCCGGGCTTTACCCGCGCTTCTCAAGATCAGGTCAATCTCCGTTTCGTTGTTCGATCTTATCTGCGTCGCGGCGTTTTCCTTTCGCATAGTCATTAGTCAATTGTCACGTTTGCGCAATGAATTACTGATTATGCTTTCTGTTTAGAATTTTCATCTGAATCATTCTTTGTTTCTTTGTGTCAGGATGATTCAACTGTGAGCCGTGAAAAGAAAAACGCCGAATCCAACTGGAAAGCTCAAGTAAGTTTTGATTTGCCTACTTGTGTTTTATCTAGGGGTTTTCTGGCTATTCGCGATAAGTATTTACTTGGTGCTGAATATTGACCTTCAAAGGCAATCCCTCTGTCCCAAACTTACCTTGGGACAGAGGAAGTATTATGTACTGAATAACTTAAGTCGTTATACAGGCTTATAAGAAAGCAGATTAAAGAAACTTTCTGACCCTTGTTGATGGCTCTCATATATAATATATTCGTGGATATTTGTGGAGAAGTGAACAATATAATTGGTTTTCTGTCATGACAATGCAGCCTTTCTTGATTCGGCCACAATGATAGCCCCTCAGCTCGCTCTTGAACTTCCGTATCATACAAAATTGTATTATAGCAAATATAAATAAAGTTGATGCTAAATCAAATTGCACTATTTTCTAGTCAAACCAAAATTTTTGGGCCATGGAAAGGATTGTAAATGTTTGTGTAATTCTAAGCACTACAGATATAAGCTGATAGAGTAGAAGGATCTGATGCTCTTAAGCTCCCTGAAAGTAGTAATATTTAGAATCTGATGTACCTCTTGTGTACGGATGTAATTACCTCTGAATAATTCATATGTCTGCAAGAAAAGAAACATACAAATGAATCACAACTTCATATAAAGGTCTGCTGGCATCTCATAAAGTACATTTGAACTTCTGATTCAGCTCAGTGCAGTTTATATCGTAACTTTTGCGGGGATTACATTATAACTTCACATTTACCTGTAGATGTTTTAGAATGCTATTTGTTTAGTAATCTTGATTATGTTGAAAATAGAAAGCATGGGAAGTGGCACAAGCCCCTTTCAAGAATTTGATGATGATGGGTTTTATGATGTGGATGGCTGGAAGCACAGTTCACTTGTTTAGCATAGGAATAACATTTTCCGCCCTTTGGCAACCCATAAGTGCTCTCCAAGGTGTGGGGAAAGGTGAGTCTTCTTTCATTCTTGTATTTATTTATCTTAAAGCCTCAACTCTTTTTATACTTGTATTTATGATGGTTCACGTCATAGACACAGGATTCATGTCCAAATAAGATTTTGTTTAATATTATGTAAACGTAGATCTGAGTTTTCTTCGACAACCTGAGCCTTCTCTATTTGATATGAGCTTACCTTTCCATTACCACCATTTTGTGCTATAAATTCATCTATCACTATCGTAATATTCATTGCAATCACTCTTTTTTGTGTAGTATTTGAGCCATACAAGGACAGTAAAGTGGATCTCCTGGGCCCAAAATTACTATTCATTGCTTTAAACTTGGCTGGTTTAGGATTGGGCATCTGGAAGGTGGCGTTTTCTCTTGATTTTTGCCTTGGAATTTGCTGCTTTTAGTCACTATAAATTCATTACTAAATAAATTATGTTTCTTTACAGCTTAATACATTGGGTCTTCTTCCAACTCACCCATCAGATTGGGTGTCATCCTTGCCACCTCCCCAGGTTTTACTCCTACACCAACTCTTCATTTTCTACTCTATATCTTTCATTGGTGTATCAGCGTATGGCTGTACATGCATTCAGCATTTTTTTCTTCCATACACGAGTGCTGTGATTGGGAAATTGTGTTGACTTTTGAAGGAATAAAATATCAAACTAAACACATGAGGCCACTGGCCACATATTTCAAAATGATAATGCAACCTTCCCCCGACTTCAGTGTAACAAGCTACCCATTGCATGAACATTTACATTTGCACTGGAAAGAGCCCATTAGTGGGCCAGTTGTGCAAGTGCTATCTAGCAGAGTAGCAGTAGCCTCATAAAGTCATCTAATAAGTAGTAATTGCTCTCTTATGTGTTGTTTGGTAATGTTGTGTGATTTGTTTTCTTTTTAATCTTACTCTTCTTAGAACAGAAAATAAGACATGTCTTTATAAGTTTTCTGTTTGCACTGTTTTCAAATATAAGTTTCCGATTCAAGGTTTCAACACTCTTTATAAACACTAAGAATTTTTATGAAAAAAATATATTTTCGTTATAAATAATGTGGATCATATGCACAAAAGTAGATCTACCAAGAGATATTCTGCTATTTAGGGCAATTTCTTATGTTTAACCCATTGAGTTTAGAGCATTAGTGATAGAGTTCATCAGGTCACAGAGAGAATAAAAACTAGAACATAAAAAAATGACACCAAAATAATAGGTGTCACAAGAACAGTTATTTCCAGCAGTACATACCGAGTGTTCATAAGAACAATTATCAAATCTATGCTTTTGTATCTTTCCACCAGTACATTCTGAGTGTTAATAAGAACAATTATCAAATATTTGTACTTCTATCTTTGAGCTTTATTTCTTCAAATACAGAATTTGTATTATAATTAACACAACTCAGTATATACCTAATTAAAATGCCGAAACTTGTCCCACACCCAAGTATTGAATACCTGGACCTTTCCTATTAAGGTTCGGAAAGGCAGAGGTGCCCGATAAGAGGGTCAGAGGGATCATATTTATGAGTCATTGAACAATTGAAGGGTCATTAAAAAATGAAGTACTACGACCACATTAAAAAGTACAAAAAATTGAAAGACCAAATGCACGTTTCCCTTTTAAATTAGATAAATTTAATTGAAGATTACTTCGACAACTAAAGTTTCACTGGGAGTATAGGACATATTGAATGTGGAGAGATATAAAGGACTCGAGATTTTAATATAAGAGAGATATAGGTGTCATTTTTTGTGAATGTGGAATAAAAATTCCACAGGGTATTCAAAATTTATTTAAGAGGCAGTTTAAATGAAAAAACAGTTTATGCTTAATCCTCTTTAACAAAGTTAAAACAGTTTAATTATAGTTTAAAATCAGTTATATGCTTTTACCAAAGCAAAGCTTATGACATTTGTGGCCTTGTGGAATCGTGCAGGAGGTCGAATATTCTGGTGGAGATGTATATCTACACTAAAGACCTGCTAGTCTAGATGTGAAGATCAGATATCTTTAAAAGAAGCACGTTGCAGAACTTCTGAAGACTGTGATTCACCTCTGTTTGTAATAGTGAGCAAGAAATAGTTTTTTTGGACTCCTTGTGATTTATTTATCCAAGTTTATTTTTCCAGTTTTTCCTTTTCTTTTTTAAGGATTGTAATCTTATGATGATGACCCTGGCTGTTGTCATCACTTTGGCAGTTTGACCAAAGTGATAATACTCACAAGTGTGAAATCATTTCATAAAACTCTTCCAAATCGAAGAGAAGTGTTTGGTCACTCTTTTTAAATGCAGCACTTCCAAATTTGACCATTTATATATTTAAATCTATAAATAAAAGAATTTTTAAAAATCAGATTTTGAAAATAATGTGTTTAACAAAAAATAAAAAAACCCAAATATATTAATAAAAAATCTAGTTAAAATAAAGCATGTAAGCAATATAAAATTCAACTTCATTATTTTTTGTAAATGAAATGTTTCAATTAAATTCTAGTTTAGTCCTTTTCATAAAATACACTTGATCAGTTGATCAGTGTTAGCTATGGATGGACTCGGGCCGGGTGGCCCGACCCGGAACTGGCCCGGGACCGGTACTGTTCCGGCCCGGCCCGACCCGGTGGCCCGGTCAGTGACCGGTCCGGGTAGGCCCGGTCTGTGGGTTTTCCGGTCCGGGCTCGAGTCACCCAAAACAAGGCCCGACCTGGCCACGCCCGGGCCCGGTTGGGCCAAAAACTTTTTTTTTTCAATTTTTTTTAAATTTTCGGGTTGGGCTGGGTATTTTGGGCCATTTGGGGTGGTTTGGGGGGTTGGGGGTGGGAGGGGGGTTAATTAGGAAGAGGAAAACAAAAAAAAAATATAATGGGCTTGGCCCGGCCCGGACTCGGACCGGACTCGGTGGTTACCCGGGCCCGGCGGGCCGGTCCCGGGTCCACCATTTCTGACCTGCCGGCCTGCCCGGGCCTAGGCCTGACCCGGACCCGGCCCGGACCCGAGTCCATCCACAGTGTTAGCCTGTTAGGCTTACCGCAAGCCCGCAGGCCGCAACCCAGGGGTGAATAAGTTAATTTTGAGCTTTTCACCCCAAAACTTAGTGCAACCTATGTATTTGGGGTGCCAAAGTTGGTGCATGTAGGGATGGACTAAACCGGGCCGGCCCGACTCGGAACTGGCTCGGCTATTACTGTTTGGGCCCGAACCAGACCGGGCCCGGTTGGCCGGTTCCGGGATTTTAGCCCGTTTGGGCGGGTCGGGCGGGTCGGGCTCGAGCCCAACTTTTGGTGAACCGGCCCGGGTGGTTCGGGCCGGGTCCGGTTCAATTTTTTTTTTTTTTTTTTTCAATTTTTTTTGCTTTTCTAGGTTAGGGTTGGGTGTTTTGGGGGGTGAGGGTGAAGGGGGGGGGGGGTCGGGTGTTAATTAGAAACCAAAAAAAAATTGAACTTGACTCGGGCCCGGTCCGGTTAGGCCCGGACCCGGTATCAACCCGGGCCGGTTCCGGGCCCAACATTTTGCAAAAAAAGCCTGCCCGGGCCCGGTCTGGAACCGGAACCGGACCGGCTCGGGTCCATCCCTAGGTGCATGGCACCCCTGGGGTGGGATTGTGGGAATGGGCAGGAATAGACGAATAGTCACTAGGCTAGTTGCTGTACGTTGGAGGACGAATGGCTAGGTGAAGCTACCATAGGGATGGACCTGGGCTGGTCCGGTTCCGGGCCGGGCCCGGGCGGGCTTTTTTCATAGAAACTCGGGCCCGGAACCGGCCCGGGTTGATACCGGGTCCGGTCCGGGTCAGGCCTACCCGGCCGGGTAGTGGGCCGGTTCCGGCCGGACCCGGGCTATTTAATTTTTTTTGTTTAAATATTAAATTAAGATTACTTGGACATAAAAAAAGTTAAAATATATTTATTTACATTTGAAAATTGAGCAAAAATTAAAACATGAAATACACTTTTTAATAAATAAGAATCAATCGGAATTTCCGCCATCTTCGATTGTTTCTTCCATAAAGTGGCGGGTGGGTTCAATGCTAATTTCTTGAGTTCTACGTTTGGTCTTCAACCAATCGTGGAAGCAAACAAGCATCTCAAGAGAGTTTGCGCTCAATCTTGTTCTATAATCCGTTAGGACATTGCCGGTCGTACTAAACTCTTGTTCCACAACAACTGTGGATACCGACATTGGTAGCACTTGCTTAGCCATCTGTGATAAGATCGAGAACGTTTTCTCTTTTTCCTTTCACCATTGAAGAACTTCAAAGTCATCCCCTTCTTCATAGTTCATACTCAACAGGAAACGTTAGATACAAAGAAAGCTCGTTGATCGAGCTTTGTTCATTAACCGGAGTTGATTTACTTTTTTTCATAAGATTGACAAATGCAGATTTCAAAATTGATTTTCCTTTAGATGAAGAAGATGTTCTTGGCGGGGGAGGGGATGCGTTACCATATTGTGCATGAAACTCATTAAATAATTGATATAATAAATTACTAACCTCTTGGAATTGTTGTTTAGGATCTATGCCCTTTTCGTCGTACATAGGCAATGGACCAAAAAAAGAAGCATAATAGTAATCTAAACATTGCTCTAAAGAAGCAAGTCTAAAACGAGGATCAAGACTAAACTAGTGAATTTGAAATACAAATCTAACAATTCGAAGTACAATTAAATTCAAACTATGCAACTACAATGTAATAAACTTAAATACAATTAAATAATAATGCAATGCATGTAAAAATTCGAATTATTTGTGTTCAAATGTAACAACTTTATTTAACAAGTTTAACAATTAACTAGTTTTATAGGAAAATAATAAATGTAACAATTAATAACTAGTTTTATAGGAGAATAAGAAATGTAACAATTAACTAATTTTATAGGAGAATAATAAATGTAACTATTAACTAGTATTATAGGAGAATAATAAATGTAACAATTAACTAGTTTTATAGGAGAATAATAAATGTAACAATTAACTAGTTTATAGGAGAATAAGAAATGTAACAATTAATTAACTAGTTTTATAGGAGAATAATAAATGTAACAATTAACTAGTATTTTAGGAGAATAATAAATGTAACAATTAACTAGTTTTATAGGAGAATAATAAATGTAACAATTCACTAGTTTTATAGGAGAATAAGAAATGTAACAATTAACTAGTTTTATAGGAGAATAATAAATGTAACAATTAACTAGTATTATAGGAGATTAAGAAATGTAACAATTAACTAGTTTAACGATTAAACAATTAATTTCGAATTATTGTCTAGCAATTTTTAATTAACTATTTCCAATAAACTAACAACTAACAATTAACTACTTTTCTAGCAATGAACTAATACTAAAATGATAAGTGAAACAATTAACTAGTTTTATATTAATAAAGAATGTATGAGTGTGTAAACTAAATTAATGGGAGTGTGAGAGTGTATAAGCAATTGGATAAGTAGATAATAAGTGTATAAGTAGATATACTTAATATATATATATATATATATATATATATATATATATATATATATATATATATATATATATATATTTATAAGTAGATTAACTAGTACTACGTAATATATAATATTATGTTTATAGTATATATAATATAAGTATATTACTATAAGATGAGTAATACACTTATATATAATACTTTAATACATATAAGTATATATTAAGTATATGTAATATGTAAATATAAGTAAATAACAATAATATAATAATTAGATATTAATATAAGTAGATAATAAATTTTATAAATATAATATATGTAGTTATAAATTTGAGAAGATGAAGATGGAGAAGATTAGTAGAGAATAGAGATCAGAGAGTAGGAATATTTGGAGAAGAAGTGTAGTAAATTGTATAGAAAAAATGGAGTATTTATAAATTTTTTGTACTCCCACCCCCACCCCACCCCACCCCGGGACCCCCTGGCAACCTCCCAACGGCTATAGAGCCGTTTGGGTTTGAATGCAACGGCTATAAGGCCTTGTTTGGCTGGAAAAGATTTTTTTTAAAGAGCCGTTAGGCCCGGACCGGGCCCGAACCGGCTGGGCCGGTTCGCTATTTTCCTGACCTGTGCCCGAATTGCCCTACCCGATCGGGCCGGTTCAAAGCCCGAACTGCCCAACACATACCCGGGCCGGGCCCGCAGAGTAGCGGGCCGGGCCGGTTGGGTCCATCCCTAAGCTACCATAGTACCATGTGATATTGTGATGTGGTGAACCGTAGGTCCATCTAAAAATAAAACCTCATTTTTATTTAAAATGTTATAACTTTTTCAATTGTACTCCCATGACATTAATATTGCATATAACAAAAAATAAAAAGAAATGAAAATTCAAGGGATATTTTGAGTTTGCACCCCATTTTATTATCCAAATTAGACTTTGCACCCTGTTTTTGAAATCATTAGTATTTGCACCCCAACCTCGTATGAAAAGACAAAAATGCCCCTCGATCAGGATTATGTTGAAGGGCATTTTAGTCTTTCCATACGAGGTTGGGGTGCAAATACTAAAGATTTCAAAAACGGGGTGCAGAGTCTAATTTTGACAATAAAATGAGGTCCAAACTCAAAATACCCCAAAATTCAACTGTTGAAATTTTTCAAACCCGAATTTTTTCTTGAATATACTGAAATACTTAAATTAAGATCTCATCATTAAAATATTATAATATATCTTTAAGTTATTTTTTCAAAAATGATTCTGAAATAACAACAAAAGTTAAATTTAATTTCAAATTTATTTATTTTTACAATCAAAACGTTTCAATCGAAACGTTTGACCTTTTTAGATCATTATTATTCTTGGAAAAAATGGGAAAACATTGATATACAAAAATAAAAGTAAGGTTTTAATTAAAAAGCTTATGGGTTAAATATATTGATGATGTTGGATTGATGCGAAATTTGATTTATTGATGGATTTGGGTTGCGGTTAATCTAACCATGTATTGGACTTGAATTCCATATTGACACTTACTTCTAAATTGTTCAATCCAAAATAAAATAGAAACACAAAATAAAGAAGTCTAAAGAGACGAAGTATTTACCTAAAATGCAATTAAAGTATTTATATGTAAACTAACTTTGTGTTTTCAAAAAAAAAAAGTAAACTAACTTTGTTTTCCCAAACTTCCAAACCCGAATAAACACACTTATCCTCTCCGTGATAGTGCTTCAGAAGGATCAGGATCCTCTGCGGCACGGCAGGGTCCCTTGCGCATCGGACGATCTGGCAGCAACGAGCACTGTCTCGAGATCAGCGAAAGTGTGGACCCTAAGATCTACGGCCGTTGAATTTACGATCAGACGGCTGTCCAGAAGCAGGCACTCTACCTTGTTCAATCCAAAATAAAACAGAAACACAAAATAAAGAAGTCTAAAGAGATGAAGTATTTACCTAAAATGCAATTAAAGTATTTATAAGTAAACTAACTTTGTGTTTTCAAAAAAAAGTAAACTAACTTTGTTTTCCCACACTTCCAAACCCGAATAAACACACTTATCCTCTCTGTGATAGTGCTTCAGAAGGATCAGGATCCTCTGCGGTACGTCAGGGTCCCTTGCACATCGGACGGTCTGGCAGCAACGAGCACTGCCTCGAGATCAGCGAAAGTGTGGACCCGGCCTAAGATCTACGGCTGTTGAATTTACGATCAGACGGCTGTCCAGAAGCAAGACACTCTACCTTGTAGGGAGGAGCATTCGGTCGGTCGGTCAAATAACCGACCGATAACCGAATAACCGACAAATATTTTTTACTCTAATAACCGACCGATACCCGACCGACAACATTACAAAAACCGACCGAAAAATGCCATTCAGTTTCAGTCGGTAACCGAATAACCGAATAACCGACCCTATTTTTAAAGCATATAATTTTCAAAATTATGAAAGTTGTAGACAAACACATTAATAAATAAAATAATAAATACCAAAATAGATTTAACTTATTTAAATGTAAATAATAGTACAAAGCACACTACATATGCACACATGATGCATCACTCACATATATCTTTTTCAATTAGGAGACAAAATAAAAAATGACATGTTAGCAAATAATTAAGCTATTAACTTCTTAAACATTTAACTCCAAACCAGCAAACTGATCTAATGAGGTCAAGGGTTGAGGGCTCCAAAGCATTCGACTATTGGGTTTCATAGGTGGAATTCAATAAGTGTGGGCTGGACTTCATACTATGGACTTCAATAAAACTTCTTTTCCTTAAAAAAACTTATATATTTTGGATGGTTATCGGTGACCGACCGATAACCGATAAATATAACCGAATAAAAACCGAATAACCGAATAACCGATTCTTTTTAATTTATTATAACCGAAAACCGACCGATAATCGATTTTTTCGGTCGGTTCGGTCATCGGTTTCGGTCAGACCGGTTAAATCGGTTAGGGAGAATTATGGAAATATTACTAAAACGTGTGTGGTTTCCTATAATATGACTAGAAAACTACATTTACAGTTATATGACTACTATTGAATGTAGAACGCGTATACTGTACAGCCGGCTGTACAGTGATCACTGTACAGCCGGTGACAAAATTGTAATTTTTGTGAAAATCGCGGATTCTCCTAAATGAGCATTTATGCAACTTTGATGAGCATCAATCCTGCTCTTTTGAGTATTAGGAGCCTAACTGTGAGAATCAGTGATCTCTGCTTCAAACCTTATATATCACTTTTGGTTTATTATTTTTTCGTTTAGTACGATACATTTGAAATGTTCAACATTTTAAAATGAGCATACATAACTTACAAGTTAGTATCAAATAACTAAAAGGTTCATTTGTGTGTGCTCATTCTTTTTGGGCGTTATACTCATTTGAGTTTAACATAAAACTCATTTCATTTTAAATGAGTATTAAGCAAATATCAAATGAGTATACATAAATTACAAAATGAGCAATCATAAAACTCATTCGAAATGTCTACTATGCTCATAATTTCATTTTGTATAAAAAAATGTGGCAGCCCATGTAGCAGGTCATTAATTAGCAGAGACGGAAAAATAGAGTGTGAAGAATAGGAATCGCTCGCAGGGGTAGAGCCGTATCTGCGTCGGCTAAGAATCTCAGTCGTGACTCGTGAGTTGCACTTGGAAGCTTGGCTATCGGTGATCTGCGTTCGTGAGTTGCACCAGACTTTCGATCTGCCGTCCTTCGTCGTCTTCGTTGATGAGTTGCAGGGCTGAATCGCGAGTTGCAGGCCTAAATCGAGGAGGTTTAATTACAAAAAAAACCAGCTGTACGGTGAGCACCGTACAGCCGGCCGTACAGTGTATTTTACCATTGAATGTATGAGAATACGTTATTGTTTTGATTTAACATCAAAAGACTAACGGATGATCATGCACGGGTGATAGAATAGGAATACAACTTCACTTAGTCATATATTAGGAAAAACATCCCTTTTTAGTCACACATATGGTAAATTTCTCAGTCGGTTATTTGCTCATCCCTACTACTTGCTCAAAAGCAAGGCAGAGGCTCCTGATTCGCTTTAGAAGGTGCAGATTGTCGGTTCACACGTAGAATGAAAACATGATTATTTTTTAGATGATCACATAATCCAGGACTATAACGTTGATGGAAGTAAAAAAATAGAATAATTTATAAAAAAATAACTCATCAATTTGAAAAGAAATCGTTTCATAAAGTAAATGTTAAAATCGAGAAAAGTAGATATACGCTATACTCAAAGGAAGAAACAATTGCTCATACATTTGAATCTTTGATCATAAGTTCCTTAATTAACTACTGGTATTCGGAAGTAGAGATTACCTTCCATAATTATACAAAGGCCTAAAGGGTAGCATTGTAAATGCTCGTTGCCGTAGCAACCACTTATTCAACACATTAATTTCTTACAATTTGATAATGTTTTTAATTATGTTTGTGTAAAAATCTGAAATTATATTTGTGATTTGAAAGTTATTATTTTAATGTATCTGCATAAGTTTTGGTATACCTTTACATAAACTATCCTGGTAAAGTATAGGATTTTATTTAAAATATATAAGAGAAATGTTAAAGTCACACACCGGATATAATAAGATCTGAACTACTCTTTCTATTAGATTGACCTTTTAGGATGGAATTCTGAATCTTAACAAGTAAGAATAATGTGAAATTCCAAAATAAAAGTAGTATAATAATCTTACTTCTTGGGAAATTTCTCTAAAAGGTAAACAAAATTCATTATTTTCATTAAATAATATTGAAAAAATACGTATGTATAAAATACGTAGTACATACATTTTCCTTAAAAAAATGAGTTGACAATTATGACATAAGAAATTGGTACACTAGTATTGGAATTAGTGTTAATGCATTATATATTTCGAAATAATTCTTGATACATGATCAAAATATGAAGGTGAAATTCATATCAATAATCCGTACTTTTGGTGATTCTATAATAATAATCTCTACTGAAAAAGTCAATACAAATAATCCAAACTCGTAAATGCGTCTACATAGATAGATTAAACCTTCATACACAGATTATTATCCTTCAAGAAAATAATTATAGCAATGATACAAAAAACACTAAACTCAATTTTATGACAATGGTGAACAAAGTCAATACTGTATCTTTATATATTAAATATCAAAAAGATTAATCTAATCTATCTATGTAGATGTGTTTATGAGTATGGATTATTTATATAGACATCTTCGGTAGGGATTATTATTGTAGAATCACTAAAAGTATGAATAATTGATATGAATTTCGTCAAATATGAATATTGGACAAGATTATGATTTATTAATTTTCAATGGCTATGATTATATTCATGATAAAAACATGTTTATTGTAACTTGAATTACATTTTTATGTGTAAATTTCTTTTAGTAATATTTTAGAAAAACATCTTGTATGTCATACAGCTGCTGGAATTCAATCAAATAAACTTCTATAAAAATATTACATTGGACTATTGGAAATGAAAGAACATATCCTAGGTTTTTACCACGGTTGTTTCGATTTTTCGGGTAAGTTATCTGCTTCACTTTTTCTGTCATTCTCGTACTTGATGTCTACATCAATTTTAGAAAATCGAAAATGATTAGAATTTAACGAACTACCTACTTTTGTCTTCTTTATGTTCACAATAACTGTTTTTAATTATTTGGTTCTTTAATTTTGTCTGATAGAACGCATGAGTTAATTTCAAGATTTTATTGTTTTACACCCTTGATTCTTCACCCCCTTTCCAGTATAGAAAAGCCAATTTCAAAGGAGAATTCTCAAAGGTTCAGACATTTTCTTGTAATTGAAGTGATGATTTTTCTTCACCCAATTTGTGTGTGTGTGTGTGTGTGTGGAGATTTTATGCATTTTGGGTCTGAGAATTTGCAGTACAGGGAGTGAGGGGGGTTTAATTATTTGTAAAGATATGATATTTCCAGAAAACGTGGGGGTTTTAATGCTTTTAAAGAATTTCCTTTTTTTGTGTGTGTGTGTTAAATTGAGCCAGAAAGTAAAAGGATTCTCTTTTCAGGGAGAGGACAATATCAATAAACCGGATATGCATATACTATATCTCTGCTGCAACATCATTTTTTTGAGATCTTAGAGGTTAGTTTCTACTTTCTTGAATCTTTCTCTGAGTATAAATTCCTATATATTTAATTAGGTTTATATTTATATTCACACAGTCACACACATACTGGTTGCCAATTGTTTCCACTTCCCATAAGAAGAAATGATTTTCTCTACGAAAGGCCACTGTTGCTGAATGTGTATAAGGGTGTTCAGTCTAATAAAACTTGAGTTATATCAGCTTGATGCACCAGTTAATTTAAAAGTTCCTTAATGGTTTTCATGATCATGGCATATTTTTACTGATCATGAGTTATTCACAAACTATTTTAAATTGTGTATTTTGAAGTAAAGTTGCTTTTGGTAGATTACATATTGCTTAAGCCTCAATGTTTTTGTGACATGTATAGCCTCAAGGCCCAATGGGCCTAGTAATGCGTGAGGTGCACCTTAAAGCATAACTGCATCGTGCAATTTCGAATATTTGCTTATATGAGGTTGGTTGTTATAGGGGTTGATGTTCAAAACTTAAAACCCATCACCATCATCACCGCCTTAACCCCAACTAGTTGGAATCACTAGCATGAAGGCTCTACTGACAGTTAATCTTCTAAAGTTAGCTAACATTATAAGTTTTGACAGGAAATACATCGTGGAAACTGGAAAGGTTTTGTTTTTGATGTCCTTCTTGCTGTACTTTCTTATAAAGGACTAATGATGAAGCTTTAAAATTGTCATCGTTGAGGGTTATTTTTATTTGGATGGAAATATCACAAAATCATGACAGAGTGATAGGTTCGGGTAGTCTCTATTGCCACTTCAATTTGATGATAAATATAGTTTGATTAATTACATCTATTTAGAACAGTAATGGCATTGTTGGTACCCAAGGGAAAGTGCAGAGTCAACTGAAAATTCAGAGATGATCAATTGAATTAAAATTTAAACTAGAAATACTTTTTTGTGTATAATTCAAATCCTCTAGACTCCAATATATGGTGTGTTTTGGAGAGATTGCATTCAGCCCACAAGTTTTATCATCATCTCAATTTATTTATTGAGAGGAATACTCTCAAAAAGGTATTATGGGGACATAGGTGTGTATTCCTTTTTATTGTAGTTCCTATTGGTTTTACATTTATGTAACTTTGAAATGCTTCTATCCTTATCACACTAATATCTATTTCTGCCTTTGCCTATGTGAATTTCATTAATAAATACTTTTCGAGGCTTCACCTTGATGAATTTGGTTTGGTAGGTTGCGGTGTATAATTGAATGCTAAGGATTACCATAATTTGACACCTGTAGCCATTTTCTCTTCGCTATCTTAAATACCGCGGATTACAGTATTGTGTAGAAGCGTATCCATTCGATATTCATCGTTTACTCCGTCCATCACTTTCCCTCACTCTGCTCCATACTGGAATCATAACAGCTCAAACAGCATGAAGGTTTGATTTATTTTTTCCTTAGCATGTTGCTTTATATTTTCCTTGGCATCTTGATTTATATGTAGTTACATATAGTTTGAAGACAGTATTTTTTTATAATTTCTTTAGATCACACTTTGAAGGAAAGAAGCAATGAAAGGACATTGATCTATAATATTCTTCTGTTTACTATACTCATAAGATTGAGATGACTCAAAATCAAATGACAGTCGCATTCACATTCTTCGTTCCTCAGTTATATCTACTATTCTCTGAAAGGTGTTATGAGTCTCAAGTTAGGCTGATTTTTTGTGAATTTACATTCTGTAATGTGAAGCTATACAAAGTGTTTTTCTTGTTTATTGAAATTCCTTCTGTGAAGCAAAATCTCACTGTGAATATCACTTTGCATGTCAGAAGTTCTTAACCATGTTCTCCAAGTATATTTATTTGAGTATATAACATACCTTGTTAGAAACAGATGAAGAACCAACACCTCGATAAGTTTTTTGTGGGAACAAGTCTTAACTGTAATCTCTTCACAGGAACGCCATCCAAAACATGATGAGAAAAAGAGGAGCATTCTTGAAAGTCCATCTAGCCATTTGAGTGAAAAGGTAAGAGAACATGATTGCAAAATGTTTTTGATGCCTTTATTCAGTTACATGAGCATATATCATTTCTCCAATGTAATATGAGATTCCCATAAGTTTGGACGTTGGAGTTATCTGTTTTTCGAATTGTCAGCTTAATAGTCATAACTCATAACCTTTCATTATTCTTTGAACGTGTCATTGCTCTCTCTTTCTGTCATACAGTATAGAATTGTACACTACCAATTGGAAACCTATTCAAACCAGGCTATAGACAAGTTTTTTAGTGTTTGAAAATCCTTTGCAACGTTGGAGGTCTTTTTACCCTCCAGTATGGCAGTAAACCATAGTCATGGTAGCCATCTAATTTATCGAGTATTTTTTCTTTCAGATCTTGGAACAGTCATCAGCTAGGTGGAATCCGTTTGAAGCATGTCGACCCATCATAGATGAAGCTCCTGTCTTTTATCCAACAGTAGAGGTTCGATTCTCAGTAATTTTTTTTTGTTTTCTTAAGTTAAGCTAGGAACAGGAAAAGGCTCAATTAAAGGATCAGGGACACTCATAATTCACTTTGCATGGCCTATGATGTCGGAGTTACTCTTACTCATTCTTGTGAGGGTGATTCCCGCACTCCCTGAACCTTTCCCTGAGCCTTTCTGTGGTCCATGCGTGATGTAGCTAACTAGAGATGCTTTGTGTGGTAAATGGACAGGAGTTTGAAGATACCCTTGGCTATATTGCAAGCATACGCCCAAAAGCAGAGGCCTATGGGATATGCAGGATCATACCTCCTCCATCTTGGAATCCACCTTGCCTTCTTCAGGACAAGAATATTTTGGAATGCAAATTTTCCACAAGAATCCAACACATTGATTTGCTTCAGAATAGGGAGCCAATGAGAAAGAAACGACAGCGTAAGAGGAGGCGAAGGGGTGGACAATCAAAGTCAAGATCTACGCGGAGATGTCCACCTGTCGCTGAGAATGAAGATAAGTTTGGGTTTCAATCAGGGCCCGACTTCACGCTGAAGGAATTCCAGATATTTTCTGATGAGTTTAAAGAGCGTTATTTCAGGATGAAGGATGGGAAAGAAGGAACAAATGGAAGGAATGGGCATGACAGTGAACTGAAGCCCTCTCTTGAAGATATTGAAGGTGAGTACTGGCGAATCGTTGAGCAGTCAACAGAAGAAGTTCAGGTACGTATGAACAATATTCTTATTCCTTTGACACAGAAACACACTATCTACATTTAGTATGTGTTTGGATCTCATAAATTGCTTGGAAAAACAAAAAACAAATGCTAAGGAAATTTAGTCTCATATGCTTGTATTTACCTTGGGAAATCCAAAGGTAAATGAAAATGATGATTTTTTATTTTCCATATTATACTTACATTTAGATTTTAAAGTCTTTATACAGTAGAAATAAATAAATAAAATGAGTTTGAAAAAACATCTAGGGTAAATTTATTGACTTTGAACTTATCTTTTTATTTCCCTCCAAGTTTTCTTTCTTTTCTATGTGTTTTCTTATCTTTTTTCTACCCCTTGTATTTTCTAATTTCTGGATTCCATATGGACCTTTATTAATTAGAACTGATAATAATCATTCTCATATTCAAACATTAGGTGTACTATGGGGCTGATCTGGAAAGCGGGGTATTTGGTGGTAGTGACTTCCTCAAGGCTTCATCATCAGATCAGTATGCAGCTTCTGGTTGGAACTTGAAGAACTTCGCACGTTTACCTGGCTCTGTACTGTGCTTTGAAGAATGCAACATCTCAGGAGTAGTTGTTCCATGGCTCTATATTGGAATGTGCTTCTCATCTTTTTGTTGGGTAATTTGTGTTTCCTCTGGTGCACACCTTATTCATTTTGTTCCATTTCATTTGGAGTGGTAAATAAATGTGTTCTTTCTGTTGACAATATGTATTTCCATTTTTCATTTTCTGTGAAGCACGTTGAAGACCACCATCTCTATTCACTCAATTATTTACATTGGGGTGATCCGAAGGTTTGGTATGGAGTCCCGGGAAGTCACGCTTCTGCATTGCAGGATGCAATGAGGAAGCATTTGCCTGATCTCTTCAAAGAGCAACCTTTCTTGCTAAATGAACTAGTAAGTAAATAGTACTAAGTAATATCCTATGTATATTTAGGGTCAGTTTAGTAAATATTATTTAGCTGAAATGTCCTAATCTACTGAATTTTTTAAATTCAAAAGAATGTAGTAAAATCGTTTATTTCAGCCAAATAAGTAAGCCAAGGGCTATTTAATTTGCTTATAAGGAGAATAAGCCGATTAGACACCATCACACGAAATGGGGTCTTACTGTAGTTATAAATAGCAACTCATGTGAACCTAGTATGACTATTGATAATAGTCAATACATTAAGAGGACTAATGCACTCTTAAGAATTAGTTGCAGAAGTCAGTTTGTGATGGGTACTATTTTTTATGCATATAAAATGTATTGATGGTCAGAACATTTTTTTTATGGACGGTGTGGAGGCATTGGTTGCACTTGTGTTAATATTTATTTATTTTTTGTGTAAAGGTTACTCAGTTGTCTCCTTCAGTGTTGAAGTTAGAAGGAGTGCCTGTGTACCATACAGTGCAAAACGCTGGGGAGTTTGTTTTGACATTTCCAAGAGCGTATCATTCTGGATTCAACTGTGGGTTCAATTGTGCCGAGGCTGTGAATGTGGCCCCAGTTGATTGGTTAGATCAAGGACAAACAGCAGTTGAGCTCTATAGTGAACAGCGCCGCAAAACCTCGCTGTCGCATGACAAGTTGCTTATAGGTGCCGCCAGAGAAGCTGTACAGGCACTATGGGAGCTCTCATTTCTTAAGAAACTAGAAGATCCAAGAAATTTGAGATGGAAGAGTGTGTGTGGACAGGCTGGAATGTTGACCAAAGCAATTAAGGTAATAAGCTAATCACTCTGTTAAAACAAAAAAGTAGCATACTTTGTTGCACGGAAATACGGGAAGCATGAGGAAATGTTAAATGGGAAATGTCATATTTTAATACAACAACAAGTGTTTAGAGAGTTTCCGTAGAGTTTCCATAACAGAAACGCGAAACATCATCTTTTATAGAAAAAAAAGTGTTTAGAGAGTTTCTGAAAAGTTTCCATAAAGTTTCCGAAACGCAAACATATTCTTACCCGTGAGTTTCTGTGCTTTTTTATGCATTTGCTGGGCAAAAAGAAACTGAATACACAGAAAATCATCTTAAGAAATGCTGCTGTAAAAAATGTTGCGCAGAATTAATTATGGGGTTTGGCCTGTTTACAGAAAAGGGTTCAAATGGAAGAGGAAAGGATGAAGCAGCTGTCTCCTCTGATGTCTATTCGATACATGGACACAGATTATGACTTGAAGGATGAGAGAGAGTGTTTCATGTGCTTCTATGACTTGCATCTATCTTCAGCTACATGTAACTGCGCCTTAGAAAAGTTTGCATGCCTTTCACATGCAGATCACCTATGTTCCTGTAAACCAGACAATAAAATTGTTTTTGTTCGCTACACCATAGAGGACTTCAAGAAGCTGGTCAAAGCTTTGGAAGGAAGCTTTGATGCAATAAAAATGTGGGCTTTCAAAGATTTATGTGCACCTCCAGATGAGGTAGTAAATGAGGTTATTATAACTGAGACCCGTTCTATAAAATGTGAGGACAGTTTGGGGAGTGATCACGGATTTGATTTAAATGAGAACTGTTTGTCCAATGAAAATGAAGCTGGTCTGACGCTAATGTCAAGTAGCTCCAACAAAGTCACAGAGATAGAGATCTCTGACATTTCTGAATCTGCAAGGGGGGAAGGTAATAGTCCTTCAGTTATCATGGAAAAGAGAAACGTAGGTGACCATTTAAGCATCTCTTGCTCAAATAACTTTGAGAATGGAATGAAGTTATTCGGATGTGATCTTGCTGCAAGAGTTCCCTTTGATGGAAAACATAATGCAGCAGGAGTTGTGGACAGTTCAATGGTAATGTATTCTCACAATTCAAGCATTCAAGTTAACCTTTTGAACTATGGGTGTCTTACTCCTGGAAAGCTATGGTGCAATAAGTTGGCCATATTCCCTAAAGGTACAAATTCCGAAGTCGATAGTTTGTACTTGCAGACTAAATGCATTTTGTAAAAAGTAACATCTTCTTCTAACTTTCATAAACTATGATGCCAGGATATAAAAGTCGCACTTGGTTTTGTAATATGCTCTATCCAAGAATCTACAGCAGCTATATATGTGAGATCTGTGATGGTGGGCTGCTTGGACCTCTATTTAAGGTAGTATCATTGCCATTTATTAGTAACATATAAGGACCGATTCTTTCTTGATGGAAATGTGTAGATTCATTCTACTTCATTTTTATCTTATTTTTTCACGGCGGAATTTGTTCTATATTGTTATTTTGACAACATATAATATACAGAGTATGATGTAATACATATGTTCAAGAAAAATTTAAATGAACAAATGTGGTGGAAAAATTATTATTAAGCACAAGTTATGCCACCACATTCAAAAGGAAAAGTGCAATGGCGCGTTGATAAAAAAATCCAGTTTTTACAAAAAGATTACTTTTTACCTAAAATGGACCCTGTTGGTGCTATCCAAAGATCTAGTAAATGAAAAAACACTTTGAGGAATTAAAATTAACTTAAGTTAAGCACCTTTTAAAAAGTTTTTCAACAAAAACCTAAACTTTTTTAGTATCTTATTTCAGGTTACTTTGGAAGATTGTCCTCTAGTAAGCTATACATGCTCATCAGCTGAGCAATGCTGGGAAACGGTGGTTGAAAAATTGAACAATGAAATAATGAGGCAGACCGTATTAGGGAATACGAGACTCCCTCCATTGCAAGATAATATTAATGGGCTTGCAATGTTTGGCTTATTATCCCCTCATATCGTTCCGGTAAGTAGTGTCATATGCTTTCTTTCCTTTTTGTGCTTTTAACACAGTTTATGAAGAAGCTTACTGAGGTCCTGACACGAGATAAACTCATAACACAATAATCAAAACGTATAAGAACAAAAAAAATCATTTCTTTTCTATGATTCTATCCGTTGCGTGCTTAGACCATATATCTTACTAATTGTATTTCTGTTCACGAAAAGCAGGTAATTGAATCGCTTGATCCAGGCCATCTCTGCACGGAGTACTGGAGTCAGAAGGAGAGGATAATGAGTCTTTTCTCTGACAATAAAATGCAATCTATGCTGATAAGGTTCTTCAGTAAAGCAAATCCTGAGGAGTTGGGAATGATGCATACAATATTGTGCAGCGGGTCTAGCAGCCCGGGATGGAGAATGGCACTTTCTATCCTTGATGATGACATGCACAAGAAAGTTCAAAGAGACCAACATAGTTGACACATCGTTTTTCTCTTTCAAAAAAGTCTCATCATCCTCATAAATAAAGGTAGATGTTCCACGCATAAGGTGTCTCCCAATAACATCTCATATAGGCAAAAATGAAAAAGAATGGTCGGACTTCTTTTTTAGTTTTAGAAGTGCAAACTTATAAGTTGTTCTTTTGGTTTTTTTTATAACCGAAAAACATTTTTATTCAATCAAAAAGTAAATTTTACAGTGCAAGAATATAAGTAAAAGAAAAGAGAACAGGAAAGAAAGGAAAACAAAAACATTAAAGACAAAAACTAGATCCAAGGGAAATCTCTGGACTGTGATCTAGTCTTCATGCTATGACGTCTTTTATTCTTGTGAGATTTCATGTAGATCTTGAGTTGTGTGTTCAGATTTTCTATTGGCAGGAAGTTTTCTGAGGTGACCAAGTTTGATTTACGGCAAATCGATCTATTGAATCTAGAGTTCTTAATTTCTTCCTGGTTTGATAAAGGGGTCGACGATCGCTTTCGGTTGCATGGCTTAGACGTTGTTCTTTTGAATACTTGCATGACTCTTGCAGAATAGTATCAAGGCCTCTGAGATTTCTCATTTCCTTGAATTGTTTGAAGGTTTTTATAGATATGTTATGAATATGTATAGTGAAACAATTGAATGATTTGTTCTCCAAGCTTCAAAGTTCAAATTAACTCATCTTTTTGTTGCTCAAGTCCTAATTATCAATTTCTTTCTCAATTTTCAATTTGATCAAATCTCATCACCCCATGACATTAAAACTATATTTCCACCCGTGCAATGCTAAGATCAGAACTAAACTTCAATAATATTTTATTATTTGTTAACATTGTTAGTGAAAGAATGTTTTTTATATATCGAATGTTTAAATGTATTATAAAAATAATAAATGTAATACTTTGTGTATTATAAAAAGTTATATAAGAAGTTATAATTTAGAATAGACTAGTCAAAGAAGGCGCGGGCAAGTTATATAAGAAGTTATAATCTAGACATTTTAAACATTCTTTATAAACAAAAAACTTTTGAATTTAGAGAGTTTCATCACCATGAATGTACATTTCTAAGTAGTATTGCTCAATCGACTATTATAATTGCACGTTATAATAAAAGTCCAATCAGAATGAGGTATTCATAATTACGACCACAAGGAAGGACTCAAATAAATGCATTTGTTGAAAGGAAAAATAATTTAAATAACTCAAACTTTAATGAATGTGAGGTAAGCACCACAAACTTGCATATGTAATAAATATACCCCGAATTTTATATGAAAAGTTATTTTCGCACCATGATTATATGTTGGTTTACAAATAAAAATTTGATGGAATAATAACATAATTTAAAAATACTCTACGCTTTGTTGATTAAATATACCCGCTTTGTCAGAATGTAGGTAACATTCTAAAATTTCACTTGTGAAATAAATAATATTAAATTTAGTACAATTTATTTTAATTGCACCCTCATAAATGTTTTGTATATTTTAAATTATGTACTTTAGCATCATAAAATTACATGATGGAGTATATGGCCCAGGAACCCACGGCCCACAGACTCCTACTACTCTGACACAGGCCCAACAAGCCCAGGAAGCATAACGGGCCCAAATCACAGCGCCCCAAATATCAAGGAGCCCACGTTGCACATATGATGACTTCGGCCCCTAGGCTGAAAGCTCGAAATCCCGCAGGACAATTGGTTTTGAGCATACGAAGCTACTGGGAGAAAATGATGAAATCAGTAGCCTTCGGCACTTGGGGCCCTCAGCACTGAGAGGCCCCCGGTATGAAGAGCCTTCGGCTTATCATCTACAGCCGAAGGCACCTTCCTCGACAGAATCTCCTCTCCACATGCGCCTGAATCGCCGTACCAAGTACGACGTTACATCCAACCACCGCATTTAATGCGGCCACATGCGAGTGCTGGTGCCACCCCGATTGAGGTGACCCTCGGCCGTCGGATGCTTGACACGTGTCCCTGTCTAGCGTTTATTGCTGCTATAAATAGCCCCCTTTTTCCCATTGTAAACCACGCTGAATTCATATCAAATACATACTCTCTCTCTTACTTCTTTGCTCTGACTTCTCTCTAGTTGTTCCCCGCAATAACCCCTCGGATAGCTACCCCCGGGTGCACTATCCATCATTTGGTGCTCTCGTTGAGAGGTCGAACAATCAAGTAAGAAACCCTCCCCTTCATCAAACACAAAACACCTATCAAAATGGTGAGAGCAACTCGTGCCCAATCCAAGACTCAAGAGGACAGGAACCTAGCCCTCGGCGAAGTCGACGCCCCCGAAGCCTCTAACAGGGCTCCCGAGGGCGGCGCCCTCCCGCGTTGGAACATGCGGCTGTCGACATGCGCCTTCAGCTCTAACAGAATGCCCTTGATGCTCGCCTCGGCATCGAGGCCAAAAAGAAGGACCGGAGCGAAAACCAAGTGAGCCCTCCGGTCCTCACTATCGACATGCAGTCGGCATTCTCCACCTTCATCCAAACACTCACCCAAAATCCAGGTGCCTTCGGCACTCTCGTGCCCCTTCAACCACAGGTCGGGGAGAACGCTATACCTCTCCCGCGTCCACCCCCATTCGTGAACCCTACCCCTCGGGTTGGGAACGACGAAGGGGTCGTGGCTCAAGACACTGCCTCCCAGGAAGTCCAATCCCGGGACCGCCATGGCGCAAACAAGGAAAGGCCCAGGACCTCCGCCCTCGAACGGCTCGGAGGGGCGCAAGACCGCCGAGGGGTCCAAGACCGCCTCGGTGGAAAGGCGTTCCGAAGACCCCAAGAGAGCGGGGGATCCGTTTCAAGGGCAGACGAAAGACGTCTCCCGCAGGACAAAGGCAAGGGACTACTCCCTGCCGACGACGCCAGGCACCAGATCAACCAGGCCCACTCGGCCAGTGTCCGTTCGCAGGGGGCAGAGGCTCTCCCGAAGGATCATAGGGACGAAATTATTGCGGCCCTCCAGCACTGGCTTGATGAAATGGAGGCCCGTCAAGCACATACCATCGTTGCCGCCCCTCATACAGATCCCAAATATGAGGCCATAGTGGCCAAAATGGAGGAGATGCAGAGAAAATTTGCCGAGGGCTCCGGGGAAACCATCATCCAACTCCGGACTAGGACGCCACTCGCCCCAAGGGTGTTGGCGGCCCAAATTCCGGGAAAATACCGAGGGCAACTCATCAAGCCCTATGAAGGGAAGACTGACCCTCAGGAGCACTACATCAGATACCAAAACAACATGATGATGGTAGGGGCCTCGAACGAATATTTGTGCCGTTGGTTCCTCTCCACCTTGGAGGGACCATCATACGAATGGTTCAACCGATTGCCCGAAGGCAGCATTGACTCTTGGCAAGAACTAGCCCAACGCTTCTTGACACAATTTGCCGGAAGGCACTGGTCCAAGAAGCACTTCTCCCATCTACGCACAGTAATGCAACAGAAGGAGGAGACCCTTCGGGATTTCCTTGAGCACTGGAGGCTGGAGACAGACAAGGTCGACGGCGCCGACGACAGGACTCTCCTGGCTCTCCTGCAGACAGTCCTCCGAACCGGCAACTTCTTCAGGAGCCTTATTATCGAGCCTCTGCGCGACTATATAAGGGCCCTCGAGCGGGAAGACCGATATGCAGAGGTCGAGGAGGTGGAGAGGTCCCATCGGAACCCTGAACAACAACGCCCCAGGCAAGATGACAGGAACAACCGGGGGCTCCATTTCATCAATCCAAGGGACCAGCCCCCTCGGGTGATCGCCCCTGGCATGGCCAAGCCAAACCCGGGGGAGGTTACAAAAACAACCCGAAGGCCTGGGCACAACCCATTCTTCTGGAGCACCCTCGGACGCCTCTAACGCATCCCGTCAGTGTCATCCTCGATTTCGCCGAGGAGAGGGGTCTCGTGGAGCGAGATTCTCGCGCACCCCTGGAGGTATATGCCGTCAACCCCAATGAACCATATTGTCGCTTCCATCGTAACCAGGGGCATAGAACCGACGATTGCCATCAGCTGAAGGCAGCCATTGAGAGGTTGATACAGGCAGGCCACCTGTATCAGTTCATCAGGGGCCCTCCTCCTCAGGCCTCTCATCACCAGGAGCCCCCGCTGAAGGTCAATAAGTGGGTTAACCCAAACACCATCCCTTTTAAAAATCCGCAAAGGAAGAAGCGTGACATTGGGAATCTCGACAAGGAGGAAGAGTACCACCAGTACCAAGAGAAGAAGCGCCATATCCACATGATCACCGGCGGCAACACTGGGGGAGACTCCACGAGCCAGAGGAAGAAGTGGACACATTCACTTTACGTGGGGGAAGTCACTCACATGCCCCCCGTAAAGAGGTTGAGGCAGGAGCCCATTATATTCACCAACGCCGATCTCCCCTCGGCTTCCTCTCCTCACAGGGACACACTGGTCATCTTGAGCGAAATCAACAACACTATTGTCCACATAACTTACGTTGATACGGGCAGCTCCGTCAACGTAATGTACCTCAGCACCTTCAAGGAGCTGCATCTAGAGAGGGAGACCCTTCGTCCCATTCGAACCCCTCTGTCCGGCTTCACCAAAGATACTATTGATTCTGAGGGGGTCATAACCCTCTCGGTACTATTCGGCGACGGGCTTCATAGGGCCAAGCTCGAAGTGGAGTTCGTCGTCGTCAACATTGACTGCGCTCACAACATCGTCCTCGGCCGGCCCGCCCTCGAAAACCTGGAAGCCATCATCTCCATGAGGCACCTGTGCCTCAAGTTCCCGGCTGAAGGAGGCATCGGATACTCGAGGGGGAATCAAAAACTCGCTCGAACTTGCTACCTCCAAATAACGAAGAAGGTCAGTAAGACTGAGTTCCGGGTAGACACCATCACCGGAACTATAGAAGAAGAAGAGAAGAGGCCGAGGGCTGAACCAGACGAGGAGGTAGAAGACTTTGCACTCGATCTGGCCAAGCCGGAGAGAGTGGTGAAGATTGGAGCCAAGCTCCCCGAAGATTTGAAGACCGACATCACGGATGCCCTCCGCGCCTACTCCATTGTTTTTGCATGGGGGCCGGAGGACATGCCCGGAATCAGCCGAAGGGTGATCACTCATCGCTTGGCGGTGGACCCCTCGGCCAAGCCAGTACAACAAAGGAGAAGGCCCCTCTCGGCCGAGAGAATGGACTTCATGAAGAAGGAGGTTGCCATGCTCCTCTCCATCAAACATATCAAGGAGGTGAAATACCCCTCATGGCTGGCCAACGTGGTCCTCGCACAGAAGCCACCCACCTTCCGCATGTGCGTGGACTACACCGATTTGAATAAGGCATGCCCAATGGACCCTTTCCCTCTGTCAAATATTGATTAATTGGTGGACGAGACGGCGGGATGCGAAATTATGTCTTTCCTCGACGCCTTCCGTGGATATCACCAGATTTTCATGCACGAGGAAGATGCTGAAAAAACAGCCTTCATGACTCCCGAAGGCATCTTCTGCTACCTGGTCATGGCCTTCGGCCTTAAGAACTCAGGCGTCACTTATACCCGGATGGTGGCCAGGGTATTTCAAGTCATCCTAGGACGCACCATGGAGGCCTATGTTGACGACATGATCGTCAAGAGCAAGCGATCAACAAGCCATGCAGACGACCTCCGGGAGATCTTCGCCATCATGCAAAAGTTCAACCTTCGGCTAAACCAGAAGAAATGCACATTCGGCGTGCAAGGAGGCGAGTTCTTAGGCTACATGGTGAGCCGAAGGGGTATCAAAGCCAACCCCAAGAAGATCCAGGCCATCGTCAACATGGAGCCCCCACGCAACGTAAAGGAGGTCCAACGGCCGACGGGCCGCCTGGCAGCCCTCAACCGCTTCCTGTCCAAGTCGGCGGAAAAGTCCCTCCTCTTCTTCCAGATCATGAGGAAGACCGCCGGCTTCCATTGGACGTCGGAATGCCAGGAGGCCTTCGATGAGCTAAAAAGGTACTTATCTTCACCCCTTGTGCTCTCCAAACCCAGTGTAGGAGAGACTCTATATCTCTATCTTGGCGTTAGCCCTGCTGCCATCAACTCGGTGCTAATAAGGGAAGAAGACGGCATCCAGCATGCCATCTTCTATGTTAGCAAGACTCTCAGGGAGGCGGAACTCATATATTCTCCCGTGGAGAAAACGGTGTTAGCCATCGTTTGCACCGTCAAGAAGTTGGGCCATTACTTCCAAGCTCACCCGGTCCTGGTCCTCACACACCAACCCCTCAGCGCTTTGATGAGGAGTCCCACCAGCTCCTCCCGAATGGTAAAATGGGCTATCTTCCTTAGCCAATACAACATTGACATCCGTCTGAGGCCTGCCATAAAGGGCCAAGCCCTGGCGGACTTCGTCACAGAGTGCATGGCAAGATCAGCGGTGGATGAGGATCCCTCGGCACCCTCGGATGAATGGTAGACCCTCTATACTGATGGCTCCTATGCCACCAAAGCATGCGGAGGAGGAGTGGTCCTTATTTCACCCGAAGGATTCCGCGCCTACTATGCCATCCGTTTCTCCTTCAAAGTCTCCAACAACGAAGCGGAGTATGAGGCCCTCCTCTGTGGCCTTCGACTGGCAGCCAACATGAAGGCCAGACAGATCCATGTGAAGTGCGACTCCAAGTTAGTCGTCAGCCAGATTTCAGGGGAATACGAGGCCAAGGAAGGGAGGATGAAACAGTACAAGGAAGCAGCCAAGGAATTGCTTAAGGTATTTGAGGCACACTCCCTCACTCAAATACCGAGAGCTCAAAACTCTGAGGCCGACATTTATCAAAGCTCTCGGCCGAATAGAGCAACTTAGCCTCTCAAGCATACATGCCAGCCCCGTCATGAACATACAACAAAGTCCTGAGGACTGGATTTCAGACGTCATGAACTTCATCTCCACAGGGCACCTTCCCGAGGATGAAACCCGTGCAAAGCTGGCAAAGCTGAGGGCTCCCAGCTACACCATCGAAGACGGGAGGCTTTACAAACGATCCTACAATGGCACGTTACTTCGGTGCCTTCATCAGGACGAAGCCGAAATTGCAATGGAGGAAGTGCACAGTGGCACTTGCTCAGCTCACCAGGGACCCTTCTCCATGTCCCGAAGGCTCATAGTCCAAGGATACTTTTGGCCCATAATGGCCCGGGATTGTGCAGACCTCGCCCGGAACTGTGCCGCGTGCAAGCATTTCCAGAAAGCCACTGGCAGGCCAGCAGTCAACTATGCCCCCATCAGCACAACAATTCCTTTCTCCATGTGGGGTATAGACCTAGCAGACCCGTTACCGAGGGGTACCTCCAACAACAGGTACATCATCGTAGCCATGGACTACTTCACCAAATGGGTAGAGGCTGAGCCCCTCGCCAGCATTACTAAAGCCAGGTGCCGCCATTTTGTCCTCAAAAACATCCTCACAAGGTTTGACGTCCCCCAACAAATCATCTCCGATAACGGGGCCCAATTTGAGGCAACCCCCTTTTGTGCCCTCTTAGAAGCATGGGGCATCAAACATACATTCTCGTCCGTTGTCTACCCTCAAGGCAACGGTCAAGTGGAGAACACCAATCGAACATTACTTGAGGGCCTGAAAAAGAAACTTGAGCCCGAAGGGAGAGGCTGGGTAGAAGAGCTCCACAACATACTATGGGCCTACCGCACCACCCCTCGGCGGGCAACAAGCGAAACACCTTTCTCCCTTTGCTACGGATTCGAGGCCAAAGCTCCAACTGAGGTAACCCTTCCTACCCGAAGGGTGGACCAATACGAACCTGAGGTCAACGATGCCAACATGGCCCTCGACCTTCACCTAATCTCAGAATGCCGAGAGCAAGCCTTCCTAAGGGCTGAAAACTACCGAAGGCAAGTAAAGGGTTACATTGACGCCAAGGTCCATTCCAGAGAATTCCAAGTGGGGGACTACGTCCTCCGAAGAAGGGAAGCAAGTCAACCAACCGAAGGCGGCAAGATGGCGCCAAAATTCGAAGGCCCCTACATCGTCGCAGCTATCATCAAACCAGGGACTTACAAACTAAAGCGCCCCAATGGGACAGAGGTCCCTAGACATTGGAATGTACACCACCTGGTCAAACTTTATCAGTAACATATGAGCGGCCAAGCCCTCATGACTTATGAATGTACTTATCCAAGGGCCCAAGGCCTCTATTTTTTCAAGAATAAATGCATGTTGAAGACACCAAAAGTACCAAGTACACAACACACATGAGCGGCCAAGCCCTCATGCAAGCTCCTGGCCCAATGCCTTATCACAAGACCCCCCGGCAACAAGTGTCGAGGACGGATGCTCCAATCAACGACGATAAACAAAAACACCAAGTGTTTTCAAAAGAAGACCCCTCAGTACCAAGTACCGAGAGTAGTGTATGAGAAATAATACCACACGTTAAAAATAAAGTCGTACCCCTCGAGGACGCAACTACACCGAAGGCCCCACCTATCGGTCCCAGGGCACCAAGTGCCCCCGGCCATTTGCAACTAATATGCAAATAAAACCCTTCCCTCAAACGCTTTCTGTGCCCTTACCCCAAGGGAATGGCAGGCAACGGACTACGTCCCAGGCCAAGGATTCGACTTTCAAAAACGAAATGCTTCCCGCGCCATTACCCCAAGGGAATGGTAGGCAACAGACTATGTCTCGGGCTGAGGGAACGACTTTCAAAACTGAGGCGCTTTCCGTGCCATCCCTCAAGGGGAGGCAGGAAACAGACTATGTCTCGGGCTGAGGAAACGACCCTCGATCCCCTCGGAACCCGGAAGGTTAATCCCGAGGCAGAGCCAACAATTTGTACCGTTGCCTCCCGATAGGCCAAGCCTTATCAAGAAACCAAGCTTCTTGAAGCCTTCCCTTCACTATAAAAAAATGGAGTGAAGGGGAGTAGACTTAATGAGTGCAAGTTTCAACACTCCACGATGGAACACCCTTCGGCAGATTGCAAGAAAGGTTATTACGAAGGTAATCCCTTTCACATCGAGGGCTCTTAATCTTGAATTTCACTTTTGACGTTGGCATTATTCCGAAGGCTACTATTCACCAAAGTGTTACCAAAATGTGGCCAAGTCCACATTCTGCCAGCCCTCGGCATTTCAACATATAACGGAGGCATCAAACGCTGTATATGGGACTTAATTTCCAAAGCCTACATTTTGGAAATTAACTCCCGAGGCTCTTGCTATGCAGCACCTTCCATCTCAACATGGACCGAAGGCACCTGCCCTCATGTTTCAGGTTGAGATCATCTACGCATACAGTTTGGAAGGCAAAGCCGAAGGCACCTACTGCACATCTTTCGAGAAGTTAACAGGGACCGATGGCTCAAGAATCTAACATCACCGGAGGCTCCTATGCTAGGAATGGGCCAAGTCTGACTATCACTACTGCATCCTCCGGCCTTACTGAAGGCACCACAGTTAGCACTGGAGGCTTCACATTGGGCCAGAGGCTGTTAGTTGCAGACCCAATACAAAATCCTCTAAGTCCATGACTTAGGGTCCCCGGCATCAACATCCTTTGCTGAGGAAAACTTTGCCTAAGACTATTACGAGCCGAGGGCCTATTCATGGCATCACTCAAAATTTGGCTAAGTCCACAACACCAAATCCCCCGGGGACATATGGCGAAGGTCAGCTACTTCATACAGTTGGTGGGATGTGTCAGCCGAGTGCCTAGTGGCAAAGCAACACTTAGAAAAATTTTCTAAGCCCTAAATCTTTGGCCCTCGGTCAGCACATGAAAAGCTACACAAGATCACATGAAGCATCGACCGAAGGCCTAGCATTGAACAACACTTAGAAAAATTTTTCTAAGTCCTTAGTGATTGGCCCCCGATCAACTCACAATGCAGACATACATTCTTAAAGCTGACAATTCAAACATCAAAAGACGAAGTCATTCATTCACAAGAAAAATATGAAGGCATTCATTCACAAGAACAAAAACGAAGGCATTCATTCAAACAACAGACAAGGGGAAGAAGGCATTCATTAACAAAAAGGAAAAGTAAATTGTTATACATCAAGGCCGAAGCCGGAAGATAAGAAATGTTTGCTACAAGATATTACAAAAACTATCTAAATACAAATCAGGGATTGGCAGCTTCAGCGGCAACCTCTTCGGCTGGCTTTGAGGTGGCATCCCCTTCGGCTTCTCCATCATCATCCTCCGCCTCCTGCATCAATACGGTATCTTCAAGGTCAGGCCTTTCGGCACCTGCAGGGAGAGGAATTCTGGTGTCTGGCTGAAGAGGGGGAAGACCATGAGCCGTCGGGTCAAAGGCCTTCGGGTCCACTCCCATGTGCCGGGCTAGCCTCCCGTATATGAGGGCTTGAGTGAAGAACTCGCTCCCATCATAATACTCCTTGCCCTTGTGGGCTAGCCACATGGAACCGGGGCCTTTCACCTAAGAATCCACCGAGCCTCCACTACTGAGGCCACCCATTCTTTCCGGCCCTCAGCCTTCCATCCTTCGGAGATAAAAGCAGCGATGGCATCCTCCCGGGCCGCAGCAACAACTTTATTCATTGCCTCCTTGGCCTCCTCGTTGGCCTTCTTGATGGCCTCAGCTGCCGTCTTCTCGGCCTCAGCTCTACCCTCAGCTTTGGCCACAACCTTGCTGTTCTCAAGGATTTTTCCGAAGGCCTCCTTCTCCAAGCGGAAGGCCTCCTGCACTTCCTGGAGCTGCTTTCGGGCAAGGATCAGAGCTTCATCAGCTTGTGCCTTCTGAAGTTGCGATTGCTCCATCCTCTGGATGAGCTCGCCAAGCCCAAGGCATGCCTGCAAAGAAAATCCGAAGGCAATGAGAGTTAAGCTACCATGCCTAGGGTGTTAGAAATCATTTGACTAAAGGTAGGAGAGAAAGAAGAATCTTACCGTAACCGAGGCCTGGAGGACCTTGGAGCAGAGGGCATCGTCAGCATGCCGGGATAGCACCGACTTGTCTGTCGGGGGGTGGCACCCCTCAGGAACTCCCTCGGGTTCAAAGTGCCATGCATGATGGCAGTCCCTTTGGTGATTGAGAACTGCACATTGTCCTGGTGCCACGACGCACCAGCAACCGGAGCCGGGGGCTCGGAGGAGGAATGTTCCTCGACAATGACAACGGGGGCCTCTTTCTTCTCAGTGGCCCCCTTCTTCTGCTTCTTCCCCTCCGGGGGCACCACGCTCTTCCCAGCCCTCTTTCTCTGAAGCTCCCCGACGGGGGAGACCTCGGCAGCAAAGCCGACATCTTGACCAACAACTGCATTCACCAAAGGCCCTCCATCATTTCCAGTTCCCGCCTTCGGGAAGATCTCGTCTACGGCCCTCTGTTGATCCGGAGCCTCATTCTTCTTGCCTTCTTTGGCAAGTTGCCTCTTCACCTTGGCAAGATTCTTAGCATCCATATCTGGTCCTGAGAAACAACGGAGATATACAAGTGTTAGAATACTACTACAACAAAACAAAAGAAGAAAAAATCCCAAGTATAAAATGAGATCCCTCGGCAAGGCAACAACCTCCGGCACTTTGGTAGACCATATCGACTGGGGGATATCTCTCATCTCTTTCCCCCATCAACTGGTACCGAAGGAAGCCCAAATCATAAAGCTCATCCGAGAGGGTGGCAGCCTTGATCATAACATGCTTCTCAGATCCCTCCGGCTTCTTGGAAAGTTTTCTCCCTTTCTTCTCCAAGGCAGCGCCCTCTGCTTTTAAATGCCTCTGGAAGCAATCACGGAGTGGGGATGTGAAGGGATTATCTGCCAGACGAACGTAACAGAATTTATCCTTCCACCCCTTGTGAGACAAGGGGACATCGTCAAAAAGTCTGAACTCGGGGAGTTGCTGCAGGTTGGCGAAGCCTCCAGATTTGAGTGACCCCCCTCCCCCCCGATAGAGGTTGAAGGAAAGGAAGAAATGATCTAATGTGGCCTCCACGCCCCTGCTCCGGCAAAGAGAGAGGAAACCAGCCAAGTAAGAGTGGCTATTTGGAGTCAACTGGCAGGGGGCGAGTTTGACGAAGCGATGGTATTGGATCACGAAGGGGTGGAGGGGAAATCGGAGGCCCAACTCCACCGAAAGTATATGTACGGCAAAGCAGCCGGCGGGGGCATACAAAAGCATGTCATCCGGCCCCGGTTCCACTACCTGTGCCGAAGGACCCACGAGGAATTGCGTGGCTTGATACTCGGCGGCTATCGCCTTCGTCTTCACATCCAGGGTCGCAGTGTTGAGAAAGGAATAGCCCTCGGGGATACCCAGCGGCTGTCCAGCATCGGCAGCAGCTTGTTTCTTCTTCAGTGTAGCCTTCGCTTTCCTCTTTTTCCTCGGGGCCACGCTAATAGGCGTCGGATCTAGAGGCCGGGAGGTACTGGCTTCTCCGGCGTTACGAGCGGGGAGGATGGCGACGGTGACCTTCTGTCTCTCTCTTTCTTCATCTTCCTCAGCAGACTGAACGGCGATGGCCAGCTCCTCGTCCTCTACCACTTGCTCGAAGTCCTCAGCTTCGGCTTCGGCAATGAGGTCTTTCTATACCTCCATGGCCATGGCAGCATCATCACACGCCGAAGGCTGCTCACTTGAAGACTCAACGTCTGAATAGCTCTCAGCCTGGACAGACGGCTCCCTCGAGATATCTTGAGAGTCACTCGCAGACGACATCCCCGGTAAGGCGTTCGAAGGGTCCGAGGAAAGAAATTTTCCTAAGGATTGCTAACGCTAGATCTAAGGCCACAAAGCTAAATGTGCTGCTGAAGCGAAGAACAAGAGGAAGAACTGACCTTGAAAGCTAGGGTTTGATCGAAAGCCAAAGTTTCTCTCTCTAGAAAATTTGGCAGAGCTTCGCCTCAATATGTAATCGCGCAGGGAAGAATGGCTCTGGTTAGGGGGTATTTATAGACTCCTCAATTCGGACTTGGGCTGAAAACCGGGCCCTCGGACGCCAAAACCATCATTACCTACCGTCGGTTCAACCAACCGGTGACGCCCGCCCAGAGCCAGCCAGCATCTACACGCCACGTGGACAGCGAGCTCCAACAGGCATATTCCAACGGTCATATCCCAATGACTCTCCTTCACAGACTAAGGTGCCCTCATCTGGCACCCCTCAGACAAGACTATGCATGCCTTCGGGCTAACTCCTTCAGACTCCTTCATCGAGGGGAGCCCACGGCTTCACAACGGAAAAACCCTCAGGAACCCTCAACCTTCAACATGTTGAGAACTAGGGAACCCCCCGGGGACACACCTTCAAACCTCCTAATAAGTGATTAGCCTCCGGCATAAAATAACGGGACCCCTCGGGAGCCCTCAGCCTCCAACTTATCAAGAGCTAGGGAACCCCCCTCGGCACCACGGGAGCTATCACCTATGTCAACATGCCCTCAGCCCTGGTGGCTGAGGGACTTCTCTCGGCATCCCCAGGATATCAACAATCAACCTTCGGCTAAACCAGGAAGAAGGCCCTCAACTCACGGACAACTCTCGGCATCAACATTATCCTTCATCTCAGACCAAGGGTTCACCTTTTCGATTCATCATTGGGGGAATTCGGTGCACTCTTTTTCCCTCATTAGTATTTTTTCCCACAGGATTTTTCCTAATGAGGGTTTTAACGAGGCATCCCCCCAAAATGAAACGAAAAGCACGAGCCTTCGGTCCTATGATAAAAACAGGCACTGCTCTACTCTTTTTCACCACATTACAAGTGCCTCAAGGAGTGGGGGGCTGGAGGACCCCTCCGGGGAAAATCACAAAATGTTAAACTTTCCCCGAAACATCAACATAATCCTCCAAGTCCCAAAATATGGGGGACTGAGGGACTGCCCTCGGCAAAACATATAAACGCAAGACTCCTCACTACTTTACAAACCACATCAAGGCAGCATCAAAGGGCAAACACAACTACTCATTTTCCATCAAGTACCTTTTCGACAAAAGGAATGAGGGACTCCTGATGGAGTATATGGCCCAGGAACCCCCAGCCCACAGACTCATACTACTCTGACACATGCCCATCAAGCCCAGGAAGCATAACAGACCCAAATCACAGTGTCCCAAATATCAAGGAGCCCACGTTGCACATATGACGCCTTCGGCCCCTAGGCCGAAGGCTCGAAATCCCACAGGACAGCTGGTTTTGAGCATACGAAGCTACTGGGAGAAAATGACGAAATCTCTAGTTGTTCCCCACAATAACCCCTCGGATAGCTACCCCCGGGTACACTATCCATCAAAAATATTGTTTGCTTACAGCTATGTAGTGTTGTCGGGAATGAAGTCGAGCAATGCAAAAAAAATTCTTCGGAGGACTACTATCAGGGGGAGCGATCATGGGCAAACAAGTGACTGGTTCGTGGAGGTCAACTAGTAATAAATGTCAATCCTTCATGTTGATAATTGATTCAATTTTTAATAATTAAAATTTTGATATATATATATATAGAAACTATATTAAAATCTCTACAAAGTTGTCAACCCAAATAATTAAAAATTGATATCCTAATTAAGCGAATAAAATGAAATTATTTGACAAAAAAACAAATAAATTTGCAAATCAATTTCGGACGGAGGTAGTATCAAATTACACCATTTTTGTCATCTTTCATATGACACCAATATTATATACTACTTACATAAAATTTTAGAAAAATCTTATATAATTTATTTATGTTTGATCTAATGCACGACTGGTTGATGTGAATTTTACTACTCCCTCCGTTCCTAAAAATTCTTCCCGGTTTGACTTGGCACGCTTATTAAGGAAGTGGAATAAAGTGGAAATGTATGGTTGTGGTTGTGTAAGAAAAAGGTAAAATGAATGTGTGCCACACAAATTGTCCAAAATGGGAAAGTGGGAAGTATTTTTGGGAACAGCCCAAAAAGGAAAGTGGGAAGTATTTTTGGGAACGGAGGGAGTATTATTTAATTCTGATATGATTTGATCTGATCTGATCTATTTTTGTCTAGTCAAATCTGAATTTTTTAATTTGATCGGGTATGAGATAAGATATCTAAAGTATCTTTTTGATTTTCTGTACTACTACCTTTGTCCCCTTTAACATTATTAGTACAAAACTACAAAAGGGGCTGATTATCAAGAAAAGTGAGTTTTTCTATGATTGATATTGAACTTATAAAGTAAGATAGAGTAAGATTGGTCTTGATCCACACAAATATTATCAAATTTGGTATGAGATAATCTTAGTGAAATGGATCAAAAGAAAAGATGAGATCATTTTAGCGGGACATGGAAGTACTTTTTTAATGTCTCCTCTGTTCTTTTGTTGCAACGTTTTCATTTTTACAAATGTCAACACTGAACTTTGATCAATAATATATTTCATTTCGTATAAGTAAAAAAGTTTAAAAAATAAATTTTTTATATTTATAATCAGTAGAATTTAACATTATTTCTCAAAAATTTAATTTCTAATACATTAATAAATAAAATATAGTCAATGTAGAACAGTATGGTGGTGTAACTATTTTAGTGATACAGTATGGTTAGATCCCAAAATTAAAGTTGTTCATTACGGTCATATTTCTAAATGGGCGGTACCATGTACCAATATCAAACCATGTCACTTTTAATTGTCCCAAAATAACAAAAAAATTAACATCAAACAAATTAAAAATATACTCCCTCCGTCCCTGAAAATTGTTCCCTGTTTCCTTTTTGGGCTGTCCCAGAAAATTGTTCCCCTTTCTATATTTGGAAAGATTTTACACCCTAAAAACCTATTATACCCTCTAAAACATTTACCCCCAACCTCGGTATACTACTTCCTTCCTATCCTAAGGCCTATCTCTCTCTCATCTTCCTCGTTACATCTTCCCGTCCAGCGTCTGTCACACCTTACACTTTTCCGGCCATTTACTCTCCTCTGCTTCCACAGTTCCACTCTTGAATTTGTTGAACTGTAATTCCTTCCCTGATTTCAAATCCTGTCTAACCCTAGCTCTTCCACTTTCTAACCAACTATCCTAATTCAAAATCCATAAATCCAACAACCATTTCAGATCTACCTGCAACGACCGCATGCATGGACGATCTGATGGTTCCGGACAGTGAAGAGGGGTGGGAGATGACTGTAACACCCCCAATTTCCCGCCCAAAAATACTACTTGAAATAATAATTTATTGATAATAAACTTGCTTTATTCATTCGAAATTGATAAAAAAAACTTGCAGCGGAAATAATTTATATAGGGAAACGGGTGTTACCGCCACATCCGGTCATCTCTTAACCGGATGCACAGGCAACTAAAACAAAACAGGTATAATTAATTGTGATGTGAAGAAACAAATGTTCAACGTAACTAAAATGTTCATTCATGTCTAGGTTTTACTAAGGCATCTAGCAACCGCTCTCAGACGCATGCAATCAACAATCAACATAGTCATCATCACCTGCACAAATAAAGTGCAGAAAAGAAAACAAAGAAAAGAAAACAAAAATTAGCTTTAGAGCTAAGTAAGTACTACCCAACCTCGTAAAATAATCACGTTTGATTAAAATAGATTTTTATATAATATTATATAAAAATAATTCACTCCACCGAAACCCCTTTCTTTTTTATTCACTTCAAAAATTACTTCTTTATTAATAAATTCTTCTTTTCTGAGTATCACCTCAAAAGTCACTTCTTAAATTGTAAACTCTTCTTCTCTTTGGATTTTCAAAATCCCAATCTTTCTAACTTCCTAGTAGTTTAGAAGGGCGGTGCTCAACACTCTGGTTGAGCCCGGTGGTTACGTTATTATGTACGGCCACCCCGGGACTTTTGCCGGTACCACAACTGCTAATGGAAACGAAACGACTACCTTAAGTGTGTGCACCCCCTAAAAGGGATTCCAAACTCTCCGAGTAGTAAGTCATCCCGAGTGGTCAGAACCCAACCACCCCACCTTTACAATTCTTGAATGATTAGGGACTACTACTATAACTTCTTCTTAAAAGGGATCATAGATCCAAATGTCACTTGAAACTTAAACTGTACTTCTTAGTAGTAGTAGCTCTAATCACCCCCACATTTATCCGGATGTGGAAAACCGACACCACAGATTTCTCTCGTGGTGCTCACTTTTTATGAAATCATTCTTTTATCTTGATTTAATATACTTCAAAATATTCCTCAATTTCTCAAACTGGCTTGAAAATATTTAAATAAATATTTAATACCCAAAAGCACTCGGTTTCACTTCTCAAATATCACAGATCGAACAATCTCAAAATCTCATGCACATACATCATAACTCACATTAAAATTATGTATCACATAATACATATATAATACGAGGAAACGATTTTGGATTGGCAGAGAAACTTACCTCGATTCGCAATAAATCCTACTCGAAGCATCTATGTCAATCTTCAGAATCACCTTCTAGAATATTAAAATTCTAGCATTAATAGTTTAATTACAATAAGTAGATTAACTAATTAAATACCCCACCTTAGCTCATCTTTTTAATCTTTTAATTCCATTCTCGTGTAACCCTAATTATTACCATAATTAACTTAGCTAATTCAGTTAAGAACTTTCTCCTAGCCCCAAAACCATCTTTATTTAGCCTTTCTCTTTTGGTATATACTACGTATTAGTTAACTTAAACCGGTCCTTCCCATCCTACTAAGTGTCCGGCCAAACATTATAAAAATAAACCCAGCCCAACATTTTTAAACAAGTACATCGCAGAACAGGAGTACTACGTACTGTACGTCTTGCGGCCAGCGTGTGCAGCCGCAAGAGAGAGGAGTAGGCTGGAGGCGATCGTCGGCAGCGGTCTGAACGACGGTGGCTTCACCTCCTCCGACGTGGAAGTGGCCGGACAGTCTGGCGAACAACTGGGCTTCTTCATCGGCGAATCTTCCCTTTTCGATCTCCGGCGTCCAGCGGCGGTTTCTCACGCTCCCAGGGACCTTCGTTCCTATATGTGATCATGCAGTGTAGTTTCGACCCGCAGTTCCGTAGTCACTCCGGCGGTTTTGGTCAAGTTGACCGGCAATGGTTTCCGGCGATCTTGTTCCAAGCTTTCTTTCTCTCCTTCCCTCTCACTCTCTTTTTCATCTATTCTCTCTTCTCGCATATCTCACGCATACTAACGTAGTAGGTATTATTTTAATACATAAAAATACATAGGATCAGATAGCTAAGAAGGTCCTGGTTTGGTCCGTTTGGCTCATTCTTAAAGTATATAAATGCGCATGTGTGATGTCTCGTGGGTTGTATGCATCATGCATGTGAATAGTCCGCAATCATGTATGTATGTATATTTCCCAATGTATGGCTAATAATACTGCGTACTCCTAGTTTACTTGTCAATTGTCAATTATTATTGCTTGTTTTATTTTATAAAGATGTCAAATAGCCAAATACATGCATGTGAGGGTGTAGTCGGAAGGTACAGTACATGTATTATTGTTACTACTTGTCCTATCTTATATTAATGACATGTACTCTAATATATATATATATATATATATTACTCCGTAATATATTATTATTGTGTACCGTATGTTATTGATTGTTGATATTGTGTGCATCTATATTATTGTGTGTATATATTAGGGTTTGAAAAAGGTCAACTCTCTTAACATTGCAATTTTTATGCTTTATTTAGTGTACTTCGTACAAATTAAATGCTATTAACTACTTAAAAATGTTCAAGTCTCACTTTTGTTATTTATGTCAATGTCCTATCTGGTCAACATAGTTATTATAAAAACGTCACGTTTATTTTTGAAACATTTTTTTTTCTGATTAAAAAAAAGTCACTGATGTCAAAATTTTATCTGATTCACTTACTTATTAAAGTGTTACTTTCGTAACACTTAATTATTAAAATTTTATCATACTAATAAAATTATTTATTTTATTCAAACTTTTCAAAGTGTCACAATTCACCCTCCTTAAACGATGATTCGTCCCGAAGCATAAGTTAATAAAAAAATATCTACAAATATGATTAGTAGGTATCACATATTAGTTAATATTAATTTCTTTTTATTAAGTTTATGGAGTGTCACAATGACAGCCAAGGAGATGGAGGAAAAGCTGGCAAACAAACGGAAGGAGGTGCGGGAGCAGTACATTCGCCATCCTGTGCTAGAGGAGTTCTTAAAATTGATCCTACCTGGCTGGGAAACAAGGATGTGGGATGTTGATACCTCTTGCAGGGGAGTTTGTTTCTATTTCTCTTTCCCAATCTGTCATTCAATTGCATTTGTTCAATGTGTGGGCAATAAATTGTTGTGGTAATGTTTGTCCGGGTTATGTAGTTGTGTTTGATTCTGGGGCAGCAATGATGATTTTAGGGTGTTCTTATGTACTGAAATGTCCTTCTAGTGATGCATATATGATCTGAGCATTGTTGTTATGTGGCTTGAATGAGTAAGGGTTATGTGAGGCTGGTATGGGTAATATGGGTGATGATTTTAGGATGTTCTTATGTACTGAACTTCATTGGCACTCATGTTTGTGTGCCTAAATTGTCTGACTAAGGGCTGTGATCACATTGCTATGATGTCAGTGTGATTACAGCCCTGCTGTGATGACCTATTAGTCCACCCATTGCTTGGTTGCTGTGATGACCTATTGGTCTGAGCATTGGTTGGTTGCTGTGATGAACTATTGTTGTTTGTATTAGCCTATTTTTTGTGTGGGCCTGGTATGAGGAATAAGGTGCTTGTTTAAAGCTTGAGAAAGGATAATGTTAAGCTACAATATGAAAAAATAAGGCCTATACATTATGACAAAATAAGGCATGTACATTATGACAAAAACAAGGCCTGTACATTATGAAAAAAAAAGACCTTGGTAGTTATGGAATAAGTTCAGTACTGAAGATGATTAAGTCCTAATCATCTTCATGGATGAACTGGCCATTACTTTCTTCTACTAAGTTAGGTGTACCAATGTTACCCTGTTGTTGTTATACAAGAGCTTCTGTGGCTTCCAGTAAATCCACAGGAACCTCTATGCTTATGGGCAACCTACCTTCTGTGGTCATTCTGTCCTTTGCATTATGTGGAAGCTTGTAGTTGTTACCCCTTGCACTTTCATTACCTCTACCATGACATATTGATAACTTAACCACACCTTGTTGAGAGTGGTGGGTTAAAGTTGGTAGAATGCTTCATGTACTGCCTTTAACAGTTCATCCACATTCTTAGGTGCTTGTTGGTCTTTCAAAGACTGAATAGCCCTAAAGAACCCAAGGTCAAGTATGTTAAGATCAAGAGAATTACTGGGCTGATAAGTTAGTGTAATATTAAACCCATCTGCTTTTGAAGCTGCGATAAACTCTGGGTCTGAATCTATATTGTGTGGCCTTGCATTGTCCTGTTGGATTATAATGTCCTTGCTTAACTGGTCAGGCCATTTTTCCTTTATGCTAGGCAACACAGTCTTGATAAGCATGTCTTTAAACACATGTTTTGTAATGCTAAGTATAGGTTTGGTTTCCATTACCCCTGCATCCCTATTATTGCTTTTCCTTTTTGCTGGCAGTTTCTCAATGAATGGGAAAATGCCAATTTTCCCATCCCAAATTACTTCACCATTGTCTGAAAAAAGGGACCTTCCCACAACTCCCAGTGACATGACCTTGGTAATGAATCTCTTTGACTTGCATACCCTGTGTGGATCCAATTCATCTGGGCCCATGTAGTACCTTTGTGAAGTTTTTGACAAGAAAAACCATTTCTCATCAATGCGTATGACATTATGGAAAGTCTTAAACACTGGTTTAGAGGCTATGGATTTGTCTATTTGGCTTGAACAGAAACTGAGTCTCTGCATTTTATTTTCATCATTTAGCAAAGGCTTAATAGCATTTGTATGACTTCTAATCGCGCCTCTCTGAACGAATCTGTGAATAGCTGACTTTGAAATTGAACTGGCTGCAGCAAGTGCCCTTATGTTAGTCCTTTTGTGCAAAGGGATTTCTGATATGTTGGTTACATCAAACAACACCCTTTTTCTGCCTGAATTCCCAAGCCACTTGGTTTTTACATCTATAGCTTCCCCCTACTCAATCTGCTCTTTAGCTTTGCTCTAGATCTTGGAAATACTTTTTCTTGTCACTGAATATTTAGTGGCTAGCTGAGTTAGAACACCTTTCTGAGCTGCGACCTCCCCAGAATCTTTTCTTGTTGCACCGATTATAGTTTCATCAACTATACTTTGTCTATCAATGTTTTGGAGTCTTTTTGCTTTGATATTTGAGCTTTGGTCATTTGTTGGTGTGTGCAGGAGCTCATTTACTCCAGTTGATGCCTCCACATCAATAAATGCAGCTGGAGAAGATGCAGTGGGGGAGGAAGCCTCCATATCAATAAATGCAGGTGGAGAAGAACATGTTGTGGGGGAGGAATAGCTCTGCCCGCCACTGCTGTGTGCAGCCATGAATGCAAGTATGCAACGTGTAGTGTGTGTTGGTGTGTTGTGGTTTGTTGTTTTCAAAATGTGTATTAATAGGTGAGTTGTTTAGATACTTTCCCAAAAAAAGGAGGGAAATGTTGGGGGGGAAATTTGTGGTGTAGGAAACACCAAAGAATAGGCTGAATTAGTAGTTGTAACATTTCATATCATGAACAGTGTAAAGCATTTCAGATCATGGGCAGTAAATTTTTTCCCCCCGCGACAGCTCCCCCCACCCGAACCTTTCTTTTTCATTTCAGGGGCATTTAGGGAAAGTCAAAGGTTTTTTTAACTTTCCTAAATATCCGTTCCAAGTCAGTGCGGGAACAATTTTCCGGGACGGAGGGAGTATATTCATAATTATGCATCACGATTTTGCCATAATCTAAAAGAAATAATAACATAAATATGACCAAAATAAAGATGATTTACAAAAATATGACTAGTGACTAGAATAGTAATGAAATCATAGTAATTCATGTTCAACTTTTGAGCTTAAGTTACCACAGCACCACATTGTAGTAATGAATAGTCATATTTATGTAAATACGTTTTATTTTAGTAATATTCTTGTAAAAAAACCGTGTTTAAAATTAAAATAGAACACATGGCTGTAACAAAAAGTCTTAAATTAAAAGAAGTGCCGTTTGTGATTAAAAAAGTCACAAACGAGGACTAAGATAGTAGGATACGGAGGAGGACAAAGTTGTCCAGGCTTGGAGAAAGATGGTGCGCCTAGCAATATTGAGGGTGCGCGGAGAACGTCCGAAAAACTATTTGCACTGTATAAACAGTTTGAACTTTGAAGTGCTCAATCAAGTCGAAGACAATGTATTTTAAGTACTGGACAATTGTTTTTCACTTAGCTTGTGAATACAAAAAGTTACACTCACTTACCTTCTGTAAATGCAAGATGCCGACTGAAAATTAGAGTGGGGTCCAAAAGTTGAAATCCATCTATAATACTAGACGTCTACATAAAATACAACAACCAATTGACCATAATGTTAGTCCACATCAAGAGACATCAATGAGATGAGATATTTGTTTCAATTAGAGCATTTACTATGGGTGGGATATGGATAATTGGAAAACGCAATGTCACGTAACAAAACAAGATTAAGGTATAAATATCTCCTCCAATGCTAATGTCCATATTAAATATGGTTGTCCATCTTTCTATACACAACGGAGAGGCTCTAATATCTTGTGACAAGATTGATAATGTAAATCAATTATTCTAGAAAAGAACCAAGGCCTCAGAGAACAGGTATCCTCAAAAACTAACAATTTTGAGAGAATGTAAAGAATCTCAACGCCTTTTAGAAGGATTGTCATTGCATGGTGCAGTGTTACAGATAGCAAGTATCATCTGATTAATGTGAATATAAGCAGCACGCTGCATTAGAGGTTTTTTCTTGTTCTGCGCCCATCTAGGCCCAATTAAGCCCGGCCAGGGGCCATCGTCTAGCGCTTTTCAAGCACATGCTACATTAAACAGATCATGTTGAATGGGTAACCTGACGAGGATTATTTGAGCAGTGTGGTAACCTGTTGAATGGGTCTTCATGAAGGATTTCCCATCAAAGTCCACTTCATGCTCTATGTCCTCCATAAAAACCAGCTGCAATTCCCTATACCAACACTTCAGTATTGATGCATTGCTCAATTTTTTGTGCAGCAACTGAAATTCAGGTTAAAAAGCAAAACACATAAAACAAACACCCAGAACAGTCCTGCAGCAGAATCACACTCCATCCATATATATAAGGTCTAAAAGTAACTACCAAATACCTCTATGCTTCTGCGAGAAGAAAATATCATGGATAGACTAACATTGCCTTTTTCAGAAACCAGCATACGAGCCAAGAACGAATCATCTCTTCTGGATGATATGAGCAAAAATTCTGGCTTTGCCTTTTTTAAAAATTTATTCAGAGCAGAAAAGGAAACTGCGTGCAGTTTCTCATGCATAATTAGATCCTGTAAATAGTATTTAAATTCAACGATAAATTTTAGATGCTCTATAATACTACAACAACGACAATAATAATAATAATAATATAATAAAGGCAATAGTAATAATATGAGGTTCCTGATCATAATCATGATAATACTAATACTATTACTGATACTAATGGCTAGCATTAGAGCAAGTTCGAGATTAGGGATAACAAAAAGAGTCTCAACCACACCCTAAAAATTTAGCCTTTTTAGCCCATTGAGCAATATGTGATTTTCAAGTCTAGTCTAATCTGAATTGCTCTTGTCTAGTTTGATCTGGTAAAGCTTGGTTTTGACTGCGGTGAACTACTCTAATTTGGCATTATGTGAAGTTTATTTTTATAGATATTTTTTTAATAGCAGTGCAATGTTATACATAGTAGTTATTAAAATACCACATTGTCACACTTTTGATGTTGCATCGTATTATTTAAATTGGTCGTAAAAATGAAGGTATATGCAAATGATAATGATAATCTTATACGGAGTAGTATTTTAGACCAAAAAAAGATAATTGAACTGGAAATAATCTTATAAAAACTATTTTAAAAGATTTTTTTTTTGTATTTTAATAACTATATAAGTAATAAATTACGTACTCCCTTCGTCCCGTAAAGAAGTTCCTAGTTTGACCTACACACATATTTATGTAAGGTAGAGTTTTGTTTTGACTTTCCAAGTATACCCTTACTTTATGTCAAATCAAACAAAAAGTGGATAAAAAGTAAGGGTAGTTGTGACTTTTTGGTTAAAAGTGATTTCCTTTTATAGAAATGAGAACTTCTTTTTGGGACATCCATAAAAAGAAAGTGGGAACTTCTTTGCGGGACGGAGGTAGTATTTATTAATGAATTGCGTTTCACAATAATAAAGTTACATAAATCGTATCAAGCTTAAGAAACCGAAAAAGAAATAAATAAACCAGACCGGGTCATATAATACCAGTCTAGCTTAGGTCAAACCAGATTTACTAGACCAAACTAGACTTGCATTTCATAGTAACAAAATACACAAAATATCAAGGCCTTGTGAGGCAAAAAAAATCAAGGCCTTATGAGGCAATTAGCGGTTAGCTAGTTATGATAGCGGTTTGATAATAGCTCGTTGTGTTAACTGTTTTAGCTGGCTGATTATGTTAGCTTATTGTCAGCAATTGTTTGGTAAATTAGTTGTTTGAGTGTATAAACATGTATAAAGATGTTAATTTTCTTAGATATTACTTAGAAAAACAATGTTACCTACAATTAATTACCAAAACACAGTTTGAGAGTACAAATCATTCGTATTTTAGAAGATTTAAAAATTGATTAATACAACTAGATGACAAATAAAATAACTTAAAAGAAATTTTGTTTTGATTGAAATAACATGAATTATTTCCATCATTTGCAATGGAGCCAAAGATTCATTATTTTTTGGCTTGAGATTATGATGGAATAAAGCAAAATGGCTCACTGAACTGTTTGCGCTTCTTTGTAATGAAGCAGCAGTCAGTCCATGCAATTTTGGACGCGATTTTCACTATGGGTCATCCGGAAACAGTCTCTCTGTGCTTTAGTATAGGTGGGAGCCTTTGCGGCACTGGGGTAAATGAAAATGAAAATGAAAATGATTGAAATAACATGAATTACCTCGCAAAAAAAACATGAATTCACATTCTAAAATAACATGAATACCAACAAACATGAACAAGTACAAAAATGTGTCTCCTAAAATAATAAACATACTTATTTCAATTAAACATAAAATAAATACCCATATAATCAATTGCGAAAGCGTTTAGCCATCAAGGGTAACTTATGCTCTTTCCAAGTTTGACTTATACTTGCTCGATCTATATGCTGAGATAATGTTTTTCCATTTCCAAATTAAATACGGAGTAAGATTCATCTGTGATCATCAGTCTTTACAATAATTAGATCAAAAAAATATATGATCAAAAAAATTAAAAAAATAGCCAGTCAATAGAATATAATTTTCACAATACATTAATAAGAATAGTGAACGTACATCACTAGTCCATTAATAACAAACATTAATAACATCCGGTCACATGCATGAAATGGGTCAAACTCAACACTAACAGTTTTAGGAATAGTGAACGTACATTACTAGTCCATCCCAGATTCCCAGGAAACCTTTCCAATCATTGTGTGTATTTTTTTATCAGAATGTTAATAACCTCTATTGAAATCACAGTTGCAAATAACAATACAGCCTTAATATATACTACGCACAATTTACGCTAGCTATACAGGGCCAGTTTTTGGAAAAAAAAAGTTGAAAAGACCTAAGAGAAAAAGATGCTCCAAATCTAAATTTCACAACAGTTATATTGAATCACCCAAAGGTTGATTGATAAGGATGTACAGTAATACAGAAGATTATAGAAGAAGATTCAAGAAAACTAACTGCAATTTTATTAAAGAAGAAGAACAGTAATCGTAACAAATGACCGAAGCCCCCAGTTGAGTCGAAGCCCCCCAAAAGAAAGTGAATAGCTCTCGATCTTCCCAAGTTCCAGAATGATAAAGTCTAAACAGCCTACTAAATCTCCCCTGCTATCTTCCTATTTATACTAAACTTATACACTTTATTCTTATTAATACTCTAATAGGCCCGGTCCTTTATTCTTAGTATCTATAGGCCCGGTCCCTAACAATACTCCCCCCTTAAACATCCACCTTGCCCTCAAGGTGGGTGATAGGACACAGCCACCAATTTCTTCTTTTCTTTCATCCTAGCACCCCTCCCTCTCCAATACAGATTTGTCTTCTGGATCTTTTGCTTTACTACTTCCATCTTCCACTCTATGTAATTCATAGCATAGTTCCACAAAGGCCAGAAAATTTGATCCAAAACTTTGATTCCTGCAGATTTTTGGAAGACCCAGGTGCGGCCTGCTGCAATATAGGGGACAACTACTTCATGCTTTTGAACAGTATGAACACTTCTTCCTTCAACATCCTGTTCACTTGATGATTCATCTCCTTGTAAAATCACCTTCTGCTCTTGTACTTCCCATTTGAAGGTCTGACTTTGGAAGTTAATCTCCGTGTCTCCCAATCTTGTTAGCCAGTCCATTCCCAAGACTAAATCCGTGCTCCCCAGCTCCAATAAGTAATAAGTTTGGTGAATACTAATTCCTTGCACATTCAGATCTACATCTGCACACCTGCCACAGATTTGAATACATTCTCCATTCCCTAACTGCACCCTATTTCCCTGAAAAGGAGTATAAGGAATCCTCCACTTTTCCACCAAGCTTAGTGACATAAAATTGTGTGTAGCACCTCCATCAATGAGTACATTTACTGTGTTTTCACCTTCATGCCATCTCAGTTTACCTGTCACCTTAAATGTTTTCACAGGGGTTATGTCTATCTCATCACTTAAAGAAAACTGCATGGTCTTCAATGCTAGAGGTGTGGTCTTATCCCTGCCAGATTCCAGTAATTCAACTTCAGAATCAGCTTCACCCTCTGAATTCTCCACTAGGATCATTTTATAGTTCCTCATCTTGCAGACATGTCCTCTTCCCCAATTTTCACCACATTTAAAACAGAGTCCTTTCTTGCTTCTGTTTAATAGTTCTTCTTGGGATAGTCTGGGACTTGCCTCATTACATACGCAGCTTGGACCTTCTTTCCTGCTTTCATCTCCCCATTTCTGGCCTGAAGATTGGATGATAGGAGTAGTCTTCCATTTCCTCCTTCCTTCATCCTTATTTTTCACAAAGAAAGTTTCAGAATTCTTGTTCTCAATCGCGGATGCAGTATCCATAACTTCTGCCAACGTCCTAGTTCGATGTAACTTCAATTCTGCTCTTATATCTCTTTTCAACCCCTTAAGAAAGGCTCCTCTCAAGACTTCTTCAGTTAAGTGGCCTTGTGAAGCGATAGCCTTTTAATATTTATTTCGGTATTCCTGAATTGTCCCCTATTGCTTCAGGCTAAACAGAGGCCCTAGTGGATCCTGTACCATATCAGGTTGAAATCGCTTGGTCAAAGCTTGAGTAAAAGAGTCCCAGTTTTGATGCGTAGCCTGTCTCTCCCACCACTGAAACCAGCTGAGAGCTTGGTCCTCCATGGCCACTACAACGACATCAATTTTCTGTTCCTCTTCAGTTTGATTCAAGCGAAAATATCGGTTCATTCTAACCAACCATCCAGAAGCATCTTCTCCATTAAAAATAGGTAAGTCGATCTTTCTACCTGTATGATGAGGATGACGTTCCCTGTGATGATGGCGGTGTTGATGTCGACGTGGAGGAGAATAGTCAGAATTGTTTTCCGATCCCTCTGAACTTGACGATTGTCGCGGACGATGATGGTGAGGTGATCGATGATGGTGAGAAGTGTGATGCGATGTAGATGTGTGATGCGAGGCAGATGATCGATGTGACGCAGATGATCGATGCGACCTACTTCTTGATCGATCCGTTTTTTGAATTTTCAACTCGGCAAATCCAGCTTGCATCATCGCCAGCAATTCTTCGTACTTCGTATCGATCTTCGCACCTAATTCCCGCTGACCTCACTCGACGTTCCGTTCCATTTCTGTCATCCTGCCTTCCATTTTCTTCCTCGTGCCAACCATTCACAACTACAACCAGTCTCTGATACCAATGATAAGGATGTACAGTAATACAAAAGATTATAGAAGAAGATTCAAGAAAACTAACTACAATTTTATTAGAGAAGAAGAACAGTAATCATAACAAATGGCCGAAGCCCCCAGTTGAGCCGAAGCCCCCCAAAAGAAAGAGAATAGCTCTCGATCTTCCCAAGTCCCAGAATGATAAAGTCTAAACAGCCTACTAAATCTCCCCTGCTATCTTCTATTTATACTAAACTTGTACACTTTATTCTTATTAATACTCTAATAGGCCCGGTCCTTTATTCTTAGTATCTATAGGCCCGGTCCCTAACATTGATGGAGCCTCCGGAGTTCAAGGATGTCCGCCTTCAAATGCATTTTGTTGATTTCCATTATGGGAACTGGGGATGGGTTTAGTTGACTTCATAGACAGAACGAGAGGTGGAATAAATCATATACTCCGTATATAAACACATACCTAGGAATTTGTATGCCACTATATAAACATATAGAAGAAGAAGCCTGGGGAACAAACAGAGTAAGCAGCTTTGGAACTAAAATAGAAAAAAACTAGAAACGAATACAAATTCATATAAATGCATAGCTCCCTATTTCTAGATAGCCGAAGAATACAAACTTTGATGAAGAATTTGCAGAAGCCCGTGGAAGAATTTCTTAAGGACAGGCACAATGAAGAGAAAAAAAACAGAAATAATTAAAGGAGGTGACGTGCATTAATCAGGGAGGACACGAAGGGAAAAAAAGGAAACGCCAATGGTAAACGCTTCCTGCTCTAGCATTTAAAATTACGGCTTTTTGAATCCAATAAGCTAAATCAACCATCTATTTACCAAACATTAAATATTTAAATTTGGTTGTTTACAAAGTCCAAATCATTAAACCATTTAAATTTGTGGTCAAGGAGCCAAAAATTGGCAGATAAACCATTTACCAAACAAGGGCCAAATATAACTAGAGTAGACCGAAATAGAAGAACTTAAGGGACCATATCATACAAGGCTTAGAGAAATCAGGCTAGTGTAAGCCAGACTAGACAAGAAAATTCTAGTCCAAATGAATAGATCATTATAATAAGATATCATAACATAATATTCTACATATTGTATCATGGTGTTCAAGTCTGATGCAGTGTGTCTCGGTCGAAATAAGTCCAGGGGAACATAGCCTAAGCCTCATAAGTAACAACATTTTCATCTAACCTCAAAATTTCTTAAGCAGTCCAAAAACACCCCCTTGAGGAAACGAAAGATTATCTTGTTTGGACATGGAGGAACTGAACTTAATCTAGGTTAATGTTTGGGACATGGATAAAGCAGTCCTTTCATGGCCTCCGCCTGCCATGGCGAAGAATGACGAGAAGCAACCCGAATGGCTGATTAGGAAGAGGAAGTAGGGGCAAGATGATAAAAAAGAACCAGCCTGCCATGGCGCCAAATGCATCTCCCATATTCAACTGATCAATTACCACCTACAGCCGGCCAAATAAGTATTGGGCTCAAGTTCTCAGCCTTATTAAAGAAGGATAGACTTCTCACTTCCAACTATGGATAGTCAGAATATGGCGCCAAAGATAGATCTCCCATATTCAACTGATCTTTGTTTGAATACCTTTCTATCGTGTGCATTAGCTGGATGAGCGTCACTTACAACCATTGAACCACTACAAAATGTTACAGTAAACCTTGCATGTATAATTATATGCGTCACAATTTTCCTGTATGTTGATGAGTCTTACACAGATGACCAGAACCTCAGCAAGAAAAGAATACAGTAAATTAAAGTTGTCCAGCAAACTGAACAACCTTCTCTATTCAGATTAAAAAGAAAAAGCTATAACCTAGGAATGTTAAAAGTTGTGACGGTTCCAACTAAGGAGTTGTTCTGTTCGTCTTATTCTCATTGCTTATTGCTTATTCTTATTTTATTCAGATCATATCAGAAAAAGTCAGATCAGATTAGAAGGATTCTTTTAAGTGCCCAACGAATACCATTGTTAGATGAGACAACAGAAGATAGATATGAGATCTAGTAGGAGGCAGCGTGAGAGATAAAAAGAAGATTGTTAATTGAGTTGAGCGATGAAAAGGGGGCGTGTTTGAGTCAGAGAAGCTGAAAGACTTTAAAAGTTGTGTAAAGGCATAATTTCCATTTTCGTTAGGTTTTTGTAGACAGTGTTGAAGGGATATCAGATTACATGAATACTTTGTTACTCAATGAGCATAGTTGTTCTTTGGGCTAAACAAAAGGGTGTAATGAGACTTTTGACATGATAAAATGAAGGCAGAAAATATTCCACAAGATCCTAAAGAGTTATACTCACATGGGTGGCATGCTGCTTTAAGAAGAAAAAGAAAACTGGTATGCTCAGTAAAAAACATTATGCAACTTCAGGTAGCAATGTATGTGAAGTAAAAACTTATAAAGTCATTGAGACTTACCTGTTCACCTCTGCACTCTATAATCAATTTCACATCTTCAAAATTTTGTAACTGCATAAGGAACCCCTTCAGTCCACACCTGCAAGCACTCTGAAACCTTTTAACAGAAAACATCATGTGAATTTCTTCTAACTTGGGAACATTCCAAGAACTGAACCGGTTATTTGTATTACATTCACCCATAGAAAAGAAGTCTAAACTAAGTAAATTTGGGATGTCAAGTTCAGCACCAGGAAAGCTTTTGAGTAACTCGGTCATGACAAGTCTCTTGAGGCATGAACTTGAGATTTGAATTTTGTCAGCCGATTTACAGTTTGACAAATGCAATTCTTCAATTTGGAGAAGGTTAGATAAAAGATCCTGAATAGGGACATAATCAGAAGAGAGGATAGCTCGGTTTATTTCCAAATGTTTGAGAAGAGTGCAACTAGCCAAGTCAAGGGAACATGAATACGCAAAATAACATTTTAGCGTTTCAAGACTGGGTACAAAGATCTTAATTGTCTTGATCTCTTTATGATACCCGATGTGAATATATTTCAATCTAGGATTACATGAAACCGAGTGAAAACTTCTCATGCCCTCAGAAGCTAAAGCTTGCAGATACTCCAACTCAGGACAGCCACATAAAATCTTGGATAAGACGTTCTCACCGGCAAACAGGCACTGCATGGTTTTGAGCTTCTGTAGATGTGGAAGATTAGTGCAGGAAAATCTATCCTCAAACTTGCAGCCATGAAGCTCTAAGACCTTTAGTGAATTAGAGACAAATACTTCCTTCGGAATATTATAGTAAGTGGTTGGCCTAAAATTCATCTCAATCACTAGCTCAGAGACATTCCTCTCAATTGCAGCCTTCAACCACTGGTCCATAATGGGGGCCAACTCCTCCAGGTTATCAGCATAAACTTTTAACTGCAACTTATGTATGCAAGCTTTCCGAAGAATGCATTGATCCATGACTGATTTAATGTGATCTATGAAAGAGCGTCGATGTAGTGTATCCATGTAACTCTCCTCATGCACAAACAAATCGACGTTAGGGTAATTGAACCAAATGCGAGTCCACATCTTAGACAAGACTGAAGTACGGACGATATCCATGAACGGAAGGAATGACAATATGTGATGAATAAGTGATTCAGGCAACATAGAAAAGAAGTCCGGCAACTCATTCTCAGAAATTCCGAATTTATTCATTGTTTCCTCTGGTAACAACCGATTAAATGATCAAGCAACGAACTTGTGGAACAGGTATCAGGAACACACTAAGCGATCACGCATCGAAATACAAAGGAAACAGGGCACAGAGGATAGTGACACACCATGTGAACGGAAGGCAAATTCCAACGTAAGAAGCCCCGGCTACGAGTAAGCGCTGTGTGAATTGATATGGCCTCTGGCGAATGTTTTACTTTTTGTTTCAACCCGAGCGATTTTTTTAGTTCTAAAATACTGGCCGAGTTGAATTTCATCTTGATTAATAAAATAAAAACGGTGTGATTGAAATTTGTGCAGAGTACAGAGAATTAATTTTAACCACATATTTCTTACTTTAAATGGAAATGTCAAATCTTATTGGGATATCCAAAAACGGAAATTTGGCTAACCTTTTCGGAACGGAGGAAGTACAACAGTTATGTTTTTCTTCTGTAAATGGAAAAAACAGTTCCATATGTATTTTTATTCATAATCTGATTAAAATGTAAAAATAATTTTTTTTTACAATTTACATCATTTCAAATATGATGTTCAATAAATGAATATCAAAAAGTATAAATTCATACAACAAATATTCAAAGTAAAAAAAACTTAAAGTAATTCTTCTTCAAGTTTTTTAGAAAATTCTCCGCTCAATTATTAGTCTGTTTCTCATAGTATCTTCTTATAAGTCCTATTTTGAAATTAAACATATTCACTCCAATGAACGAATTGTTTAATGAGGAGGATAGGAATTTAATTTTGAATATTCCTATGAGTTTGCAAAATAGAGAGATGGTTTTTGGTGAACTGGGAACGCAATGGAATTTTTTCTGTTAAGAGCTGCTATAGAATAATTATGGGTTTGGGATATGCAAATACCACCAAAGTTTAAATATTTTGTTTAGCAGGTTATAGATGGCATTCTTCCAACCGTGAATAATCTAAGAGGAAAGGGAGTGATTATTCAAGGATGATGTGTGGTGTGTGGCAATGAGGGGGAATCTATTGACCATGCATTACGGGATTGTCCCGGGGTGGAGGAAGTTTGGCAGCTGGCAGGTGTGGCAACGGACGACAGCGGTGTTTCAGCTGAAGATTGGCTGCGGCAGAACGTGTCCAAACCTCAGTTCTAAAAATCCTTCTAAACATCCGACTAGTTTCTGCCTAGGCGCTGGACGGTAGCCGAGCGCCGTCTAGGTCAATTAGTCAGCCACTCATGGCGCCTAGTTTCCCGCTTATGCCGTCTAGATTCGTCGAACATTACTTTACTTTTTAATTTTAATTTTCTAAGCGTTATACGTACTTTAACTTTACCCATGAATATAAAGAAATTAAGTTGTAAATTAAGATAAACCTATACATGTTTTTATATATACCTAAATTTTATCATTGTTTATATTTATAACATAACGAAGTTAACTGATTAGTTATTATATACTATATTACTATGTATGATTAAATGTGATAATTCTATCATTCATTTTGTTAATGTTTATGTAAATATGTATTTATACACACAAAAATACAATATTACTTATCATATTTGACGGATGTTATATCCGGAGTATACCGTTGAAGGGTGTCTAGAGAGTAGTCAGAACAAGTAAGAGAGAGAGTAGGTATGTATTAAATGAGCTCAAGTGTGTTCAATCGTTACAATGAAGAATTGGTCTGCTATTTATAGCAGCCATAAATGCTAGGTGCAATAAATGAGGGTACACGTGGCAAGTAACCAGCGGTGGATGGTCAACTCAGCCAGGGTGACGCCAGCATAGCATGTGGCACCGCATTTAATGCGGTGGTTGGAGATGACACTGCATTTAATGCGGCGATCCGGAACGTGTAGGGAGGAGATCTTGTTGGGGTGGTGTCGAGGTCCGTACGTACCCTGGAGGCCTTCATGTGCGGAGGGCTGTACGTAGTCGGAGACTGCCATGTGCCGAAGGTCGTACGTACCATGGGGCCTTTATAAGCCGAAGGTCGTACGTAGCCGGGGACCGCCATGTGCTGAAGACCGTACGTACCTCGGGGGGCCTTTATGTGCTGGAGGCCGTACGTCATTGGGGCCGTCATGTGCTGAAGGTTGTGCGTGCTCGGGGGCCTTCATGTGCCGAAGGTTGTACGTCCCTGGGTCGTCATGTGCTAAAGGTTGTGCGTGCTCGGGGGCTCGTAACTTCAGCCTTGGTTCCCAGTGATATTTCTGGACCAGGCGTAACTGTTTCCCCGAATATGGAGTCTTCAGGCATAGGGCCGAAGGCTGTACCCTGTGTAGTATGGGCTGCCCGGATGCTTGTTAGTTGTGTTTGGACCTATTGGGCTTGTTCGTAGTAGTGGAAGTATGAGGGCATGGGGTTCCTAGGCCATATACTCCATCAATATTTATGAAAGATATAGATAAAAATACATTTTTTAGTTCGCCGACTAGTCCCCGCCTAGGCGCCCTCCTTGGTGCCTAGGTGCTAGACGTTGGGCTGGCGCCCAACTAGCGCCTAGCGCCTTTTAAAACATTGGTCCCAACCGGACAAAAAAGCACAAAAAAAGCACAGAGTAAATTTGTTTCAATTCTTTGGGGTATTAGGAAAAGAAGAAATAATTGAGTCTCGAAGGATCAATAGGAGGATGCGAGTGGAGTGATCAATGTGTCGGCCAACATGATTAATAATTGGAGGGAAGCACATGCAGGAGAAGGGAAGAAAGTAGGTGGACTGGCGGGGAGCGTGGCTACCGCACGCTGGCGAAGGCTGAAACCGGGTTTTGTTAAAATTAATGTTGACGGGGCGGTTAACTAGGTGGGAGGTGTTAGTGCTTGGGGTGGATTGTTCGAGATAAGCATGGATAATTTATAGCGGCAAAAGAGGTCTTACATAAGGCCGAGTGGGCGGTTGAGGAGACAGAAGCACTGGATGTTCGAGATGCTATCCAGAGAGCAGTTGAAGCAGGCTGGCAGAATGTGGAGATAGAAACGGATGCTCTCACGGTGGTCCAAGGCTGGCAAAAGACGACGGCTTTTTCATATCTACATCTAATCCTAGATGATATTAAGAAGATTCTAGAAACAAAGCAATTTTATTATCTCTTTTTGTAAAAGATCTGCATATCATGTGACTCATGCTCTGGCAAGGGCACATATGAATTTACCAGACCAGTGTGTTAATTTGAGTGGGTTCCCGATTGTATTCATAGCCATATGGCTAACGATCTTTTGATTTAATATAATGAAGTCTGTTTGATGATTAAAAAAATCCTATTTTGAGCAATTTCTAATAAATATTTATAGGTAAATTGAAAATTTGTCCAAAAAATAATTATGGACTAATAAAAGAGGCAAAACACTGACAAATATTTAATTTTTTTATTTTTTTATATGCGTACATTTTTTATATGGTATGATACGATACCGAAGTATTTTAATATTCTATAGGTATTTACTTGGAAAAAATGGTACACCAATGCACCGTTATACCAAACACCCAATTTAATATTTTTTAAGTATAAAAATGATAAGTAACACAACATAACCATAACTATAAATGACATTGTATCCATGTTTGAATTATTTTGGGTTTTTTGTTAGAGATTGCCATATCCTAAGAACACGATCTTAGGAGAAAAATAAGAATGAATCTGGACCGTTAGATTAGCTTCAAGTGAAATTAAATGTGCATTAGATGAAACAGTAATGTGCATTAGGTCAAATTGAAAAGTGCAACATAAATGGTACGATATAGTGGCATTATGTGAAGCTGAATTGTGTAATAGGTGAAATTGAAATGTGCACTAGGCGAAACTGTAATGTGCAGAATAAAAGGTACGATGTGATGTTATATTTATACCTTTTATTTTTCACATTTCAGTTTCATTTAATGGACAATAGAGTTTAAATTTTTATTCTGCACATTTCAATTTGATCTTATGCACATTTCAATTTCATCAAATGCACAATTGGGTTTCACATGATACAATCCAACGGTCCAGATTCATTCTCACTTCTCTCCAGGGAGTCCGTTCTTGTCAGAACCGCTTCATATATATATATATATATATATATATATATATATATATATATATATATATATATATATATATATATTGTTCTCACGTTTTCACGTTAAGCATTGTTCTCATTAGAATCGCACCCTATATATATATATATAGGGTGCGATTCTAATGAGAACAATGCTTAACGTGAAAACGTGAGAACAAATCCTAGCTTTTGATCTGGAGAAACGGACGGTTCATTAATCGGAAGGTGCATAATAAAATTATACACCGTGTCACACACATACGCATCTGGCAAACTAATTTGAAGATGCATCGCATGATTAAAGGGTAAAATTGTAAAAAGGTCAAAATATGGAGGTTATCACTTACGTAACATTAGAAAGGATAAATAGTCAAATCATATAAATTGGTTTAGTTTAAAAATTGATTTAACTTTTTAAATTATAATCTAATTTCAACAAAAATTATATCAAATTAAATAATTTTTTTTATCTTTCATATGACACCAATATGTCATATATAATTTTGTTTCAAAAAAATAAGTATAATATGTATACAATAGACCATAAAAACATATTCAGCTACCGCATGCACAACAATATGTATCTAACACACACCAACTAATATCCAATGCACAAGAACAAATATTTAACGCACAATATGTATAAGAAAAACTAACACAAGTATCTTAAGCACAACATCCAATATCTGATGCACAAAGAATTGTATCTGAAAGTCTGACACACAACAATTAAAGACTAATTAGTATCTAGCGCATAAGGATTTTACACAACTTAAACTAATATATAACACACAAGAATCAATATCTTATGCACAATATGAATATATGCTCAAGAACCTGTACCTAACATATACTCGTAATATATATAATCACAATAAGTATTTACTGCACAAGAGTCGGTATTTCACAAACATCTCTAACTACCGCACAAGAACTTGTATTTAACGCACACGACTAATACTCTAACAGAAGATCAATATTTCTCACTTTGAACGACTAATATTTAACGCACTCAGATTACAACATTAATAAAAATGAAGATATGGCTCACGTTGAACAAGGAAAAATAATGGAATGTAATTACTCCATTCCTAAAATTACTCCACGTTAATCAATCATGGTAGTTACCAAAAATACTACCCAAGAGTATAATACAAAATTGCCCTTATCATTTTAATCAATTCTTACGTGAGATGCATCCAAATG